TACCTGAGTACATGCTGATTGGTGTCGAGGTGGACGGACAGTTTCCATCGTTGTAGGTGACGGTGACGTTGTATTTCCTTCCACAAGGCAGAGAGCTGATTTTACAGTAGTTGGCTGTGTTGTTGGTGCAGGAGAGCTGAGCCCCGCTCTGGTCCTCTATCGTGGCCGTGTAGAGGCCTGCGAGCTGACGGTTCTGCCACACTATCAGAGCATGATTGGCGTCGCAGTCTCTAAATGCCTCGATGTTGGTTGGAGGGCAAGGTGCTGGAGGAGAGGCAGAGGAGTTACATGGCAGTTAGGTCTTTTTCTATAGCAACACAATCATGTGACCAACCCTCTGACCTACCTGTCCTGAAGGAAATCTCCTGATTGATGGTACTGTTGCACTCAAAGTTAGTGCCAACAACGCTGGCAGTGTAATTCTGTCCACATGCCAGACCTTCGATCAAGCAGCTGGTGCCCACTGAATTGCAGCTGTGTGAATTTCCATTAGCATCCTGAGCAACAGCAATGTAGAACACGGCCCCGATGCTCGTCGTCCAGTTCACTCTTGCAGAATCTTGGCTGCACTCCACTGATGCTGACACTGTTTGGGGGCTGCAGGGAACTAAAGAGAGAAAGGAAGGTTAGAGTGTAAGACCAAATGTTCTTGGCAAGAGCTCAGAATAAGTGCAATACCTGCGAGCTCTTCAGCAATATCAGAATTATTAAAAAAAGCAGTCAGCAGTTTCAGCTCCCGGTACATACCAGTCTGAGCAATTTCTCCCAACACCCTGGAAGTGGAGCAGTTGTCATTGGAGGCGACGATCCACACGCTGAGGTGTTCGCCACATGGCACGCCGGTAACCGCACAGCTGTTGGAGGAGGAGGTGCAGTTGTAGGTTTCCCCAGTGTTCCCCTGAGCTTCCACCGTATAAGAGAGAGCTCCGGCAGCAGAGTCCCAGGTTGTGATCAGCATGTCGGAGTGACACCCAGCTCCCGTCCTCACGTTGGTTGGTAGACAAGGAGCTGGAGGAGGAACGTGGACGAGTATTAGGCAGAGTCTGGCAGGCACCTTTGACCCATTGAATTCAATTTTCTTGAAACTACTTATATTCCTGATAGTTGGTAATTAATTTAGCCACAGGCAGAGCAATTGTTGTAAACATGCAAACAAGTAATCAGTCAAACTAATTTTATACATCACAGCTACAACGCCTATTCAATTACATTTGTATTAATTTTTGTTTATTTTAGGAAATTTTCTTTAAATAGGTTTATTATATCAGATTGTATTCATAACACAACGTTTCCCAGTAATGATATTATCATGATTTAATTATTTTAAATCAGTTTAAATACTTATAGTCAAATTCAACTTTGCTTTTTGTGTGTTTTGTCTCTTTTTTTTGGAAAATTAATTACACTCAAAGTACAAGTTTAAGGAGATGGAGAGAGTCTGTAAACATAACAGTACTATATGTTATTCTTATTTTGTCTGCCACCGTTACTGGCACTTGATTAGTCATGATATTATCACATGTGTGTAATAAACATGATGTAAACATCTAATTTTAAAACCATCACAGTTACAGTCTGTAGTGACTACGTCCCACTTTCAGCCTCTGTAGGTTGTAAATCAGTGTCTTTGGTTCCAATTTTGGTTCCAATTTTTTATTTTTCTATCTCAGTCCATATAAATGAAAGAATATCCCATTAGTCCATTCCTACTATCCGATAGCAGTCAAAAAAACTGTTTGCTTCACACTGACTGACAACAACCATCAGTGGTGTGCCCTTTTATAATCTGGGCCACCTTTACAAGGTTCTACGCCCCCCTAGCGTTTGGTAAAAGCAACAACACAAGTATATATGGCTCTTACACTGTCAATACTAGCACACTGCAACACCCCTACACTAAAAGATAAAATGTGTTTGAATTATTTTAAATTCTATTCAACAGGATGCCCACCAGGATTGTTTCAAAAGCTACAGAACAAAGCTGATGTTTTTCTTTAATCACTTACTGGCATCATATACCATGAAACGACTGAACTGAACAATGTGTGAGCCGGTTTTAATACTAATAACATTAAGTTTGATTTTTTAGAAAAAGCTCAAACGTGTGGTCTTGACTTAAAATCTACAATGCTCATCTTATTATGAAGGAACCTGTCACCCATTGAGGTTTGGAACAACAGTGGAGCACTAGAGAACAAAAGAATGAGCTTATATTTGGTAAAATGACACATTACTGATTCTTTAGATCTTTTTTATGAGTTTGCTGCCCGTAAGAAATATACACCGCTTCATCAAATCTTCAGACAAACTACATTTCCACCCTCAAGCAAGCAAACCAAAGCAAATGCTACTCACAGGTCCGGACAAACTCGGGCTGGCTGACTTCGCTGTTACATTCAGAGCTGACGGCGTACACGTTGTAGGTGTAGAACTGACCGCAGCCCGTATTAGTGAAGTAACACGTGTTGTCTGGCGTCCTGCACTCGGTCACTTTGCCAGTCTTGTCCACCGCCGTGGCCACGTAGTACAAAGTGTTGTTGGTGGGCTGCCAGCTGAAGACGATCACATTGCTGGAGCAGGTGTGGATGGTCTGAGGGTTTGCTGGAGCGCAGGGGACTGAAGGGAAAGAGGTGGAGAAGTAGATGTTAAAACATAGTTGATGGGAAGGCAGTAAAAGCAAAGAGTGGCCTAGAATATGAGGAAAAATTTGGCTGCATCAGGGAAAAGACATCAAAGTGGAGTCTACACTGACAAGTTAATTTTATAATCTGTGTTGTACACTCGGAATTCACTTCCTGTTGTTTGAAAGTTCATAAAAAATCCTCTAATCAGCTCCTTTTGCCATCTTCATCACTTGTATGTGTGTGTGTGTTCGTTACTGGATCAGTTCCTCAGGAGGATTCGATGTGTCTCCCTACAGATTTTCACTTTTCAGACTGATACCATAGCTGACCTTTAAGATAACTCCCTGACTTCAATAGAGTGCAAAGAGCTTTAAATCGACCGGTGTTGGATGGCAGGCTTAATGTGAGGGTGTGTGAGAAAAGAGCACAGGACACCATGGGAAGAACCTAAACAGCTTCCCACAGGGAGAGAGACCCATGAGTACCGTTTATGATAAAGAGCTGAGAGTATATCCTGAAGTGTGTTTGTGTGTGTGTGTGTAAATGAAAGGTAAAACGAGAAGGTGCATGCATGCATATAGGAGACCACATACAGACAGGTGATGAGCTGTAGACAAAGCAAGCAGTTAAACGGGAGCAGCACACCAATGCATTAGCTTTCACGTGTGCAGGCGCTGCTCTCACCTGTCTCGAACAGGGAGGAGGTGTTGGAGGTGCTCTCGCAGTCATCAGAGATGGCCGTGACGTGGACCCGGTACTTCTCGCCACATTTCAGCATGGTGATCTGGCAGCTGCTGGAAGCTGATGTACAGTTGAGGGAGGCGCCGGTGCCGTCGACGGCCGTGGCCCTGTACGTGTTGGCCCCAAACACCTGATTCCAAGTCACTGTCACCATGCCGTTGGAGCAGCTGTAGTCCACAGAGACGGTCGTCACCGGGTTAATAGCTGGAGACAAAGTTAAATAAATGTAAACAGGTGATGCAGATATTCAGAATGTTTGTTTAGCATCATCCTAAGTTCTTGTTAATGGATCAAAAATTGCCCTTAACATCATTTTATAAAGATGATAAATCGTGACCTTCCTTAATTTATGAGCTCATATTGTACTAAAAGTCTGTTACAGCTGTAAAACATACGTGGTTTTTCATATGTGTGTGATGGGTGTGACACTATCATCATAAATCCCGCTCATCCTTTTTAGATTTCTGTCTTATAACAGCAATCAAACAAGGAATTTGATCTGTCCGGCACCAGAGGGGTGAAGGTCACCAAAGCATTCTACAAATTAAGTTTCATTTCATTCAGTTTAATTAAAAATTTTTGTCCTCAAAGTTTGCACAGTGTATTTTTATAGTATGGCAAAGCTTTCTGTAATGCAGAATGGTCCGATTGCACTTTGTTGTTATTCAGCCAAAGGAGAATGAAACGTTCTTACTTGTTTGCATTTTTTTAAACCAATCACAGTCATCTTGGGAGGAGTTAGACAAGGATAGAATAGTTTTTTTAAATCATTTTTATAGAACAATGAAAGGCAGTTTGGCAGCTTTTGGAATTACCAGCATTGATAAAAACAACACTAAGGCATTACGAAAAATATGCTAAAAACAAGCTGCAATAAAAGAACACAGTTATTGTGATGAGAACAACTGAGGTGGTGTCGACATGGTGCAAAGCATCACAAGTGTTACGCAACAACGGTTTTCCTGTTAAATAGTGACAGATTATCATTAAATGGCTAATCCACTGTAAAAAAAAAAATAGCATGGCTGTCTTATTACACAATTCAAATCCTCTGCAAAACTTCAAAGTTCCTGTATGGTAGGTTGTTATATGTGGATAGCGCGACATAGAAAATCCTGGTGAATGCGTGACCAGTGACAGGCTGATACCCACAGTCTACATCCTGTGAGTCAGACTAACCAAACACAGAAATGACATTACTGTGCAGAAGAATGTATTGTTCTGTTTTTTTTAATCTGTAACTGACTCTTGGGAAACAATAGGAATATAGCTTTTGCATCATCACGCTTTTGGCTCGGGCTGCAAGGTGGATCGCCGGTTAACACAGTTAGAAGATCCCCGGTTCACGACCCACTTAAGGCGCCTGGGATCTTTCTGTGTGGAGTTTGCATGTTCTCCCCGTGCAGCGTGGGTTCTCTAAGGGTTCTCCCACACAGTCCAAAAACATGTTGAGGTTAATTGGTGATTCTAAATTGTCCGTAGGTGTGAATGTGAGTGTGCTTGGTTGTCTGTGTCTAAGTGTAGCCCTGTGATAGACTGGTGACCTGTCCAGGGTGTCGCCTGCCTTCACCCTGAGTCAGCTGGGATAGACTCCAGCCCCCCACGATCCTAGTGAGGATTAAGTGGTGTATAGATGATGGATAGATGGATGCTTTAGGCTAATTTTCATATTTCATCGCCTTTGTTTGATGTTACTTTGGTACTTTTCTGCACAATGGCTGATTGCGAATTTTTGATCATTTGTTTTTGCACAAACAAAAGCAAGGCCTGTGAGGCCAAAAACAACAACAAGAAAGGGAAACACTAACAATTTAAAGGGTTAAACTGAATTAGACAAATGAATTTTATCACTCAGATACTCACTTGAGGTAGTGTGTGTAATATTGGAGGCCTCTCCAGGCACCAAGAAGACGTTGACTGATGATACTCCCACTGTGTAGGTGGAGCAGGGCTCCAGATTACTGATATCCATGGTTGTGCTCGAGGTGTTTCTGATGACCGGAGGGTTGCTGGCGTTGTCATTATCACTCACAACCACTTGGTAAAGCAGGACTTTATTCACTTTATTCCACGTCACTGTGGCTGTGCTCTTTCCTGTTGCAACCAGAGCCACACCCGTCGGCGGCTGCACCACTTCCAGCAGAAAATATAGGGGTTAATCTACTGCACCAACAAATCACTATGCAGGCTTTTATATATACTGGTAGTAAAAGATGCCTTGTAAACCAGCATCTTATGTGCACTTACAGGTCATGATTGTCCTTGTATTACTTTTGGCACCTCTTCCCGCGCTGTTGACGGAGTAAACGTAGCAGTTGTAAGTTGTAGCAGGAGTCAGGCCGTCCATTTGTCCACCCAGAGACGTCAAGGTCTGGTTGAATCGCTTTTGGGGAAAACTAAACAACTCCTCCACAAACAAGGAATAGCTGTCCGCCCCCATCACGCTGGACCACTCAAACTTTATAGATGTACTCGAAATAGCTTTGGAATATGTGATTTGAGACATAGCGGGCACTGTGGGGATGTGAGAGAAGGAATTCAGCATCATTCATCAAAAGCATTCTTTATTTGGGTGATTACTTTCTTCTGTGGCATCCTTACCTGTCATGGTTATTTCAGAAACCGTGCAAACGACGCTATAAAACTCAAAGACCTTCAGTATGACTTCATAGACATGTCCGGGCCTTAACCCCTGTATTAGTCTCTGTGTGCTGGGCGCTGACTGCAACACCACCACAGGGGCAACAGTGGTAGAGTTCACTACCCTCAAGTCGAGGGAGTAAATTGAAGCTCCAGCGTAGCTACTCCATACAACTTTCAGCGTTGATGCTGAAGGAGATGTCATTGACACAATACTACATCCTAAAAGAGAAGCGAGAAGAGACATTTGATAGGGTTTTGTGCAGTGAAGAAGAGAGACAACAGGTATTTGTTCTGCAAGGAACATTAAATGCACTAAAAAAAAAAGAGATAGTAAAAGTAACACCAAAGACAAAAGACCAAACAAATATGTGGAACATTAAGACTATTTTTGATTATTTTTGTGTGTATTAAAATGATCATAAAATTGATTTTGGCTAGCTCAAATTAAAATAACTATCTGGTTGGATAGGTATGTCTACCCAAGACAATCTATATACTTAGAAAATAACTCACTTCAAGCCTTCAATTACTATCAGTGTGTCTATTGGCTCAGATACTGGTCATCCAATAGGGCCTCATCATTTCCTTTATTTCCTTTGATTTGATTATTTATTTATTTTTTATTTTGGTTTCCATGCCCATTTGGTTAAGACAATAAAATGCTATATATTGTCCAGCACAAGTTAAGAAAATGAAAAACTTACAAAATACAATTACAAAATAGCCCCAAAAAAAACAAAATAAAATAAAAACTCACCTGTACCCATGACATGTTGTATCTAAAAAATAAATGAAGACAAGTCAAATAAAAGCAAATTACAATACTATAACAAAATACAGATTAAAAATAAGACATGTATAATTACCTGTATGACAGACAATAGGCTGATTGACAAATAAAACGTCCACATCTTATCCATTCTCCGTGTCAGGGTTTCTGTAAGTCACATCTATACGTGGTTACTGCACTCAGCAGCTCATCTGAAATCTTTACAGCCTGAGCGCTGTAGATCAAGTTCATGGGAACCAATCAGGAGGTCTGAAATTAGGACAGGTAGATGCCCGTGGGCTACCTGTCATCATGAGATGGAAACAAAGTATGTGGTTTGGAGGTGGGGGCACATACAATCCCCCATCCCATTACGCTCACTTCCTTCATGTTTCAGGAATATTTCATGTGTATGACTTATAACATATAATCTGTGCCAACTTAGTTGTAAAGATGAAAACAGGAGCTTTAACTTTATTTTTTTTCCTCTGTTTCTTAAAAAAAAAAAAAAAAAAAATCTTCCTATAGAAAAAGGATCAGCCTACTCTGAAGTAATCTGACCTCCTTTGTCCGACAGTGACTGAAAGGTGACTTGATCCTGATACGTCCTTCCTGGATTGATGTCATTTTCCAGCAAGTCTTCTGTCATAAGTTATTCTTGTATAAAGGATGTTCTTTTTCAATCTCATCCTGGTTAGCAAAAACAACGATGTACAAACAAGTGTCCTGTGGTCAAGTCTCACCATGTTTTAGTTAGTTTACAGTTGTATTGATGTAAACCCTGTTAAACCAGCTTTGCCTCACGGACAATAAAAATGCATTTTTCTGCCACAACACAAAATGTTTTACAAAAGGATAAAAATGCTGCATAAAAAAAACATGAAAATTACTGGACGCTATTTAAATAAATCAATTCTCTGACTGGGTGATGGTTTCACAGCTTTGAGGTGAAGGATCCGGCTACGTAAAGGTTAAGGAAGGCGATCCAAGCACACACAGAACAGTGATGGGTGAGGTGTTTGCAAACTTCAATACGCTGGATAGTGTATCCAGTGCATGCATGTATCTTCCATCCTCACAGCCAAGTACAGCCATTGCATAAACTAAGTTTCCTTATAGCAGAGAGTGGAAAATTTGTTTGTATGAAGAAAGAAACAATGTCACACCTGTTAGCATAAAAAAAAAAAACCCTATTAAATCAGCATTTAATGTTGCGTCCAGGTTGCAGATTTAACCTCTAAAAACTCAATTCTGTGTATCAAAGTTGCATATTTAGAAGTGTTTCAATTAAAATAATTCTTTCAAAATGGCTTAGATTTAACTCTACCCTGTACTCCTACATATTTGCTGCAGCCTGAGCACACCAGCTCACCTACAGATCTGCTAAAACATTCTGCAATTATGCTACACTACACCATCGCAATTAAAAATAGTGGAGCAACTCGGGTACAAGTGTTTGAACTGAGAACTGAATCTGAAAAAAGAATAATGATCCAGAAAACTACACCCTGAAAGTTGGCAGGTTCATCAGATTTGTAAACCCCAAGTCGGAATCTGTGTTTTTAAGACGATCATTGGCACACTGCAGCTCAGCATTAACTGCTTGTTTCACTCATAATGTGTCTTCCAGCATATTAATCACAACACTGAATAGTAAAAAAGTGAAGAAAAAAAGTATTTTAACTAGAGTGGGTCTATAAAACAGAAATTCTGCCAAGTAGCAGAACATTTTATGAGAACTCTGGACAGGTGACTAAAGAAAGCCGTCATCAGCATAAAGTTTTACCTTCACATCAATTTTCATGTGCAGGAGGTTTACAGATACCAAATTTACTGTGACCTGATGACTGATTGTGCCGCACCAGTAGATACTGAATAGAAAGTGAAAGGATCCTCAGTGGAGAGTTTTGAATCATGTTTCATATCATGTCAGAAGTCACACGGCATCAGCTATGATTTCTGCGAAAATCTCATTTCCTGTAACTGTAATCTGAAATTATTATTTAAAAAGTATATATATAATAAGGACTCCAGCCCCCCCGTGACCCTAATAAGGATTAAGCGGTGTATAGAAAATGGATGGATGGATATATAATAAGAGGAACTTTTTCAAAGCTTGAGATAAAGTCCTTCAGATCTAACTCATTCAAATTTTATCAATCAATCCAGTGTCAGTATCTTATAAGGAATAAATAATATTCATTTTGAAGACAGTTTTTGTCACCAGGAATACCGAAACTTAACATCCTGATGAACTCATAACTTGCACAAATGCATCGCTGCAGGGCTTTCCGTTTCGTAACATATACAGCATCGCATTTTTAATTTCACAGCATCTCGCTGAGGACGTTACGTAAATGAATATGATAGCATGTTGCAATGTGTAACATAGACAGCTGTTGACAAAAGGTCCACACCTCTGCCTCCTCCCTGAACTCGACCCAGCGGCCTGTGTTTGCCTCAAGAGCTAAACTTCCCATTGTGAGCATTAAACTCATCACGTTGAAATGTATCTGGCCGAGTGTCGAGTAGCTTGTGTCTGCCACATGCATGGAGACAAACAACCACGTTTTGTGAATTCATGCCGTTAATTGTTTTTGGAAGTCGACCTTTGGGATTTGCGATCACAGTGCTTAGTTCTGGTGGGAAAAATACAGAATCGGGATTAGTACAGTACACCGAAACATGCATGTAAACACGCAACAGCATGTTTAGATGGAGGAATATAGGCACATTGTGTGCTGTGGAGAAGGTAATCCAACTGTTGGAAGATAATGAGGTGACGGCATCAACACTACTCGTGTGTCTGAAGTGTTTCCCCACCGTTGCAGAGACACAGATTTTAAATACTGACAGGGTTACAGTAATACCCTATAGTTATTATACAAAAGAAAACCGTAAATGCAGCATGTAATATTTTATTCAATTCTATGTATTCTTTAAAACACAAAGAAATACGTGTTTGTTGTTCTAACACACAGCATCTCACGAAACAACATAGTACGGCTATAGTGGAAATGATAATGATATATATATATATATATGATAATGTCCAAATGATAATGATAATGACCTCTCACCTTATTGTTTATTTATTGTTTATAGTTAGAGTTACATTACATTTAATTCTATTTTTTTTTTGTCTACATCCTGTTTATGGCTATGTTCTATTTTTTCTATTTTTCTTTTTTTCTATTTTTATGCTTTTGTTCTATGTTCATTTTGCACCGTGGGGCCTTGGAGTGTTGCAATTCAGTTCTGTATGTTGTACATATGGCAAAACTGACAACAAAGCTGACTTGATTTGACTTGACTGAAAACCTTATTGTCCCATATGTTCCTAACAGAGCCCTTCGCTCTCAGACTGCAGGTTCACATGTGGTTCCTAGAATTTCCAGAAGCAGAATGGGAGGCAGAGCCTTCAATTATCAGGCTCCTCTGTTGTGGAATCAGCTCCCAGTTTGGATTCGGGAGGCAGACACCCTCTCTACTTTTAAGATTAGGCTTAAAAAACTTTGACAAAGCTTATAGTTCGGGCTGCTCAGGATCACCTGAGCTTTATATGAATCTATGATTTCAGATCCATTATTCCACATCGAGAGGTTATTGTTTTTGTGTATTTGCATATATGTATATTTGTATGTATGCAGGCTACGCTATGTACTGTATGTGTCTCCTAGGTTTTTAGAGACTCTTATGACAGTTCTTGTGCGAGTGAGAGGGAGACGTTTGTGTTTTTAGTATTATTTATATGAAAAAAGGACTTCCTGCCACAGTTTGACAATAGGAAACTAAGCACAGCTCACTCCATGCTGTGTTGTTACCTTATGATTTTTGATCCCTTAGTTATGCTGCTCTCGGTTTAGTGTGCTGGGGGTTTCCCATAATGCACTGGGCTCCTGTCTTTTACTCTCCTTTCTTACATACAGTTATATATATCACCATTACATATCACTAACTGTGTGTGTCCCCCGAGGTCCTGTCCTTGTTCTCTCTGTGGATGTCTTTGGATCTGGAGGGGGTTGGTTCCTTCCCACTGTTGCCGACCGCTTGCTCAGATGGAGTCCAAAGGCAGCTTTAGATTGTTGGGTTCTCTGTTCAGATTCGTAACCTTACTATGATAAGCGCTATGAGATGACATATGTTGTGAATTGCGCTATATAGATAAAATTAAACTGAATAATGTGCAGATGGCGAGTGGATGACCAGAAACCAAAGGTCAGTAATGAGTCCGACATCTGAGACACAAAGAGTTAATGAGGTTCTTGATGCTGCTTGTGGCCTGTTGTCCCACTATTCTTGGCTTGGGGACGTTGGGAGACGTTCTGGGGGACAGGAACATGTTGTCGGACACATCCATCGCACCATGATGTCTGAAACAACTTCTGACGAGCATAACAGACATTCAGCATCCGCCAGCCATCAACACAGTCCCTTCTTTCTCTTGTCATCTGTGGCATCATGTCATTTGAATGAAGCTGCATTTCAGGGTGGACTTTTTTCTGTGTGCTGATCACACTATTAGATCTTTGTTCTTTTTATGCACAGTTGGCTAAACTGAGCCTTTTTTAACCGTAGCAATAAAAATTAGATTTTTAAGTTTTCCCTGAAGTCGAACACTGTTTGCCTGCTGCATTTATATTTTCGTTCACTGTATTTGTATGCACATAAGGACATTTCTGCTTAACCTTCATTTAATGGTGCATCTTTCATAGGAGCACATGAAAACAGGAGAATAGATCAGAGCACCAGACTGACAGTTCTCTCTCCTGAAGTGTCCAACTTGATTTATTAAAACTCATTCATGCTTTTATGCCCTGTAGAGTGGACTACTGTAATGCACTCCTTACTGTCCTCCTCAGTAAGACCATCAGACTCATTCAGAATGCTGCTGCTAGAATACAGACGAACATCAAGAGGAGAGAATTCTGATTCTTAGATCCCTGCGTTGGCTTTCTGTCAAATACAGAATTTAATTTGAGGTTCTATATATTGTCTATAAGTCTCTGAATTGTCTGCGACAAATTTACATCAAAGATATGTTCGCTAAAGCCTCTAAGATCTGCAAGAACCGGTCGGTTAGTGGAGCCCAGAGCTCAGAACAGAGATGGTGAAGTAGGCATTCAGTCATTATGCTGCCTACTGATGACACCAGCTCTCCCTGGAACTCAGACTTACTCCAAATGTGGCCATTTTTACAAGTAAGCTTGAAACAGTTTCCCTTAAATAATCACTTTTAATTGCACTTTTATTCACTTAATTGAACATATTTTATTGTATACTTTACATTTTCTAAGTTTTAGTCAACCAGTTGTAATTATTCTAATCATTCTAATTTGTGTGCACTTTATTCAACTCTAAATGTATTTTTAAATATTTTCCTGATGCTTTTTTTTTTTTTGCATTTTATCATTTGCATTTGACTTTTTTTTTTTTTTTTACCTGTAGCGCATTGTGAGTAACTCTGTGCATGATGAGGTGCTATATACATAAACCTGCTTGTTATGCTGAAGTGTGCAAACTTTCAGGACCAAGATTAAAATTGATGAAATCAAATGATTAATCCTGCAAATTTAATTCTCAGATTCACTTGTGCCCTGTGATGAACTTGGCCACCCGTCCAGGATGCACCCCGCCTCTCACCAAATGTCCACTGGGATGGGCTCCAGCCCCCTGCAACCCTCTCCAGCATCGCTCTACTGGGAGTTGAACCACATTTTCCCTTTGTCATAGAGATGAATATGAATCTACACATTATTAGGAGCTGGTTAAATGTCAGAGAGAAATTATATTTATTTCATTATGGCTAAATAATTTTGATGTTTTTTTTCCTATATGTGATTATTGTCAGTTTATTGTTGCTGTAATGTTTTATTTGTGTTTCTTTCTTTATTTGAGCCATGGTTTCCTGATGAGAAGTGCAGGGAGAGAGAAGTTGGTCTGTCATGTAATAAAAGTCTCCCATTTATTGTTAGGTATTGTGCCTAAATGGAAGCTAAACTGGTATTTCACTTTAACATTTAATGAGTGGCTTTCCCCCCCGGCAGGATCTTTACTCAGTCAAATGAACTAAAGCTACAGTACGTTCAGACAGAAGCACTCGGGTCAGTTACACAACTTTTAAGGTCAGTCGGCTCATCAGCGTTCCATAACCGGTTTGAGTATCTTAGGAAGCTCCTCTGACCATTGGATTATTTTAGAGGACTGAGCTCTTGTTCTCATCCAAAAAAAACATCTGTATTCGATAAAAAAGACCCCACACCAGATGGCCAAGCTGTGCACTGCGTTGTAATGCCAAAACGTTGTGCTTTATTGTTCTCATCTGTCAAGTTGGAGCGAAACAAATCCAATGAAAGCAAGAGGCAACACTGAATCTATCTCCAGCAATACGATCAGATGTATCATCCACAGGACTTGCCCCGCATGACTCCTCCAGGCGATCGAGATGGATACCTGCTGCCCCACTTTCACACCGACCCTCTTTTGGGTCGCCAGCCGGGAGACACACGGTAACAGACTGCAGCCGTATGGAGGCCTTCTACTTGGAGAAGTCCTAAAATGTTATTTTAATTTTGGTTTTGAATGATCCCTGCTATTGTAATTTTTTATTTTCTTTCTTACGTGTGTTTGGGGTTCTTACTGTTTTGCTTCTTCTCTTTGTAGTTACATCTACAGCTGTAGTGATTAAACACGAGGGAACCACATAAAAACTTAATCAGACATGCATCCCTTCTTTAGCAAGTAGCAAAATCTTTCTGTTAAACACACTGAATAAATGCCAACGTTAATATTCTCCAAAGCCCCTATTTTAACTTGTATTACTTTAACATTGATTTTCTTTTTTTTCTTTTTCTTGTGCAAACATTTGATCAAAACAGAGACATTCATAAACAAGAGTGAAATTTCTTCTGGGTATATTAAATCTTTAGAGTTTCCATTAGTGTAAACACATTCCTGTCTTCTTCTTCTTGTGTCAGTGGTGGCAGGTGTTCACTGTGGGGCAAAAGAGACGAGAGAAATAATCAAACTAAACACAGTCACTACCTCCAGTGTGTCTCATGAAAGCATCCATACTCCAGAAATGGTTGTTTTGTGCAAAAAAAAAAAAAAAAAATCCCGTCATGTCCTTTATGACACTTTATGTACTAGAAACACAGTGTACAGGGAGCGGGGCTATTAAATATCACCTTACACCTGCTTACCACAGACACAATAGGATGTCCGTGTCACATTCCAGCAGCAGATCTTCATCTGCATTTACCCGAGTCACGTTCCCCTCATTGTTCTGTCCATGTTTTTTGAGACACTGACGTGCATCCCAGTGAGATGAAACAGGTGAAGCTCAATCTAATCTGTGCTGCTTGTCTTTACCCTCCCTCTCTGCTGCCTCTTGTTCCACTGAAACATATTGTTCTACTATCAGTTTATGGGCCCTTAGATGCTGTCACAAGAAACCCTTCAAGCTGTGAAGTAGCACAACGGACGTGAAAGCTGCTTTCATCAATTTCGTTCACGTGTGTTCACAATCAGCACCTTCATGTAAAGGAAAGCAGCTTGTTTTTGCGTCTCAGGCTGTTACATAATGAGGTTTCCATGTGACCTTAGACAAGATAATCTGGATGGAATGATGAACTTACCACTTTTAATTCACACTTCGTTTTCGACGAGAGATCACTGAAGGAAGAGAGAGAGAAATGATATGTCAGTGTGGTAGCAAATTTCCCAGCAGCTCATAAGATATTTTGGAAAATGTGCTGAATTTGCTTTTTTGCCAACAGTCAGCTGAGAAGACTGATGCTATGATCTCATGTCTGTATGAAGAATATGAAGCTACAACCAGCAGCAGATTAACTTATTAGGATAAATACTCAAAACAAGATGACACAGCTAACCCGACTCTGTCCAAAATAAATCTAAATCTACGTTTAATGGTGGGGGGGTTAAGTGATAAACTTAAAAAAGTCAAAGTGATGGCAAGATTTCAGAATTTTGTCACCCATATTCGCCATAACTAAAACTATGTGATGTGTTTTTTGTTTACACTTCCATTTTTGATTGGATTCAGCTCACAAAACCAGGGTCGTCCCGATGTCAGATTTTTCCTATATGATAATCGTGACAACATAATTCACAATGCTCTCATGATAGAAAATTTGAAATAAATAAATAAAAATGCGATCAGTCAAAGCCATCTTTACTTTTGTTGTTATTGTATGTTTTGCTGCTTTTCTGGCAAATGAAATACCCTCAAAACAAAAGTGTAGGGACGTGAAGACAGGCTGTAATCATAACTATAGCACTGTATGTTGTTTTTATGCTGCTGTCTTTATGATATTATTATAGCTGTATTACTGACATGACATTAAATTATCACAGTTATCAACCTGAGACATCATGAGACCTCTAAAGGTGCTCCTGTGTTGTCAACGGATAGAGTCAAATTAGCCGTTTCTAGTCTTTATGCTAAGCTAAGCTAACCAACACCTGGCTGCACCTTCACTCTTCGGTAGCAAACTTCTCATCTGACAAGAAAAGTAAGCGTCCTTCGCAAAATAAGCTGACAGTTTAGATGATACTTACGCATGCCTGCATTGCTTCCTGGGCAGGGAACTGAGAATAGAATCAAAATGAGGCAATGAGCAGCTTTCACAACGTACTCTTTCATTATCCACACAAATTTCAATGCTTGATCTCATTCATTTCAGAGCCTATACTCTGCATGTACGTCGCAACTCACCTGAGTACATCCTGGCCTGACAGAGGATGACTTTGACTCCATCGTGACCCACTGGTGCCACCACCACCGTGTAGACTTCCCCACACGGGCCCTCCTTCATGTCGCAGTGCATGCTGCCTGCAGCTGCCATGCAGGTGTTGTTGGCTTTTGTTCCGTACAGCTCTACTGTGTGATTATAGACCTGAGGGCCCGAAGAACGCCAGTACACCCTGAGGAAGTTGTTGTTCTTGCGATAGAGCTTGACGCCTGTTGGGCAGCAGGCACCTATAACAAAGAGGATACATGTTTTGTTATAAGATGTAATATATCTTTTCTTTTGCACACGCTACTTTGTCCTGGCATCTACTGCTTAATCCAAGACTTTTGAATGTGTGGAATTTTGAATACTTTTCTTCTTTATTTATATACTGTGTATGTGTTTATCCTCACTGGATGAGAATCCTTGATATAAGCACTCTGACTTGTGCCCCGAGCTGCTGATGGCTTCCAGGTGGACGCTGTAGTTGGTGCCACAGGTGATGCATCCCATCAGGCAGTGCGTGTCCAGAGTGTGGCATTTGGCGTGTCCTCGAGGGGACGTCAGGGCGGCAATGTAGGAGCGAGCTCCGTGGCCGGGTGACCAGGTCATGTTGGTCATCGCCTGGGTGACCTGGCTCACGTTCACAAACATTGGGCAGCAAGGACCTTAGGAAGAGAAATACAGAAAAATGATCAATACCTGAGTATTTTCATTTTGCTGGAGTTTGTGATGCTTTCTCTGTAATTCATTTGTACCACAAGTAAGTGACTCAGGAGAAGCCCGAGTTACTCAACACAAAAAAACAGTAAATTCATGCAAGCTGCTGAACTTATTAGCTTTATTTAAGGAAAAACATCTGCATTTTTTGCGTAGATGATTTATAACAGCTAGGTTAGTGAAAACAGATAACACAGATCACATATAAACAGCTTCAGCTGAATGTGACCCCTTAGTTTAGTTTGCTCTGTGGATTTTTATTCAGCATTTTTGTGCATGATAGGTGTGACCTTTGTGACCTTACCAAACAAAACACCAAACACAGGTTGCTTTACACATTTTTAAACTTCAAGTGGTTCAACAAATCTAACCTATGGGCTTTTTCTTGATCATATGAGAAACTCTACGTCTACATTTCATACACTGACGACAAAGCTTCAACAAAGTGGAGCCCCGTTCCCCACATGGACCTGTGTTCTCTATTTTTGACAGTACTTGTAAAACACACATCACTTTCCTGAACGCAGCAGTCAGCTTCAACCTGAAAAAACATCAGCATTTTTTTTCTCTGAAAATGAGTAAACATAATTGATTATGTATAGAAGGTTAACATGTGAATTAATGTTAGTTTTCACATTGGTACATCTGGCTCTTGGGCATGTAAACCATAGACTGTATAAAAGATGGACGTTGCAACCGGCCCTGAAAAATGAAGCCAACCCGGAAGTGTCAAAAACCTGCAATATCACTACGTCTGCTATCTGCTGGCTCCAAAAAGCCCTGGCTCCTATAGAAATGAATTGGAAAAGAAGTGATCACAGATCACAAAACACCGCATTCCTCCAGCTCAGGATTTTTTTTTAAAATTAGTTTTCATAGTCAAGTCCAGAGATCAGGTGGCGAATCTGAAAATAAATCAATACTGAATTTTTTAAAAATCGTCAAAATTTTGCGGGGCAACGGGCGTGGCTGGCTTGATTGACAGTCGGCAGCGACCATACAGATGAAGCCAACAGAAGGCGGTGAATGTGGGCGGGCAGAGAGGGCCCGCCTCTCAATCCGTCTGACCAATCGCTGCTCCTATGGCTCCGCCCCCTCCAACGATTTTTGCCTCACTGGCTCTAAAAGTCCAAGATGTCAACCAGGAAGTAGCAAAACCCTGGCTTCATTTTCTCAGTGCAGAAACCAACGAGTGACATCACGGTAGCTACATCCATCTTTTATACAGTCTATGATGTAAACATAACACATTGTATGCATTGATAACCAGTCATACTGTGGTTTCCAAAATACCTGTTTCCAAAGGTTTACTGAATCCAGGCAGACTTTTCCCCGCTGCTGAGGTGGCCACTGCTACGACTTCATAAGTGGAGCCGCAGGGCAGCTGTGTGAGCTCACAGTAGTTGCCTGCCGTGTGGCAAGTGTGTCTGTCATAGTGTCCGGTGGCAGTGATGGTATAATTTGTATCTTGCTTGTTGGGGGTGCTGATGAGGACTTTGTACGTGGAGTTGCTGATCTGCTTCATATCCAAGATCTCTGGAGTACAGGGAGCTGCAGCAGGCGGCGCAAAGACAGGAAATAAAGGTCGTTATTTCAAAAACACATAAAGGTGCAGAGAGAAATTATGTTAAAAAAATAGTTTCACAATTTGGAAAAAAAAAAACACGAATTCACTCTATAGAAAGAGGAGCTGAGGAGAATCACCATCCCTCTCATATTTGGATGGTGAAGTCACCACATATAGCTGGTTAGCTTAGCATAAAGGCTGGAAACAGAGGCAATCATGGACTCTGTTCAAAGTCAACAAAATCACAGTAACAGGACTTTGAAAGCTCACTAGTTGACATGTTATATCTTGTTTGTTAGCTTTGTACAAAAACCAAAGTAAAAACAACTTTGTGAGGCTTCCTCTTCCTCCTCTTCCACTCCTGCTGCTCTGGTTAGGTAACATTTATTTAAAGACAAGAGTGAAGTATCAGTCGTCTTATCGACAGTTTCTGTAAAAAGTCTTCACTCCTCTTGGAAGTCTTCCTCTTTTTATTGCTTTTCAACAATGAATAATGGGCAATTTAATTTAGGCTTTTTTGAGAGAAAAAGTTTCTTTCATGTCAAAGTGAAAACCTATTTTTTAACAAAATAATGTCAAATAATAAAAATAAATAAATAATTGTAAAATAAATGATTGCTAAAGTATTTATCTTTTTTTTTTTAATGACTTTAATAAGTGATCTAATTCAACACAGCTGCAGCCAATTGGTGCTAAAAATCACAACATTTGTGAAATGGAGATCATCTGAGTGCTGTGAATGTGTCTCAAGTGACTGTAAAGACAAAGACACCTGCATCTGGAAGGTCCAGTCACTGGTGAATCAGCACTCTTGGTTATAACAACACCCTGAAGACAAAAGAACGCTCAAAGTAACTCCATGAAAAGGTTACTGAAAAGCACTAGTCAGGGAATGGATACTCAAGTCGCTGAATATCCCTGGAAGTACAGCTGAAGTTAATCTGCCTGCAGGCTATTCTTAAAAAGTTGGTGACTGTGCAAGTCAGGGACCAGTGAGGGAGGCTACCAAGTCAACTGAAGGAGCTACAAAGATGGCTTCATAGGAGACTGTCCTCTCAAAATAAAAAAACACAAGTGAAAAAGATCTCATATTAAGTCTCAAGTGGCGTTCACCAGATAGCATGTGGAAGACTTCAGCTAGAAAAGTTTCTATTGTGTGAGTCCAGAATTGAGCTTCAGACAAAAAATACTGCATATCATCACAAACACAACATCCCCACGGTGACCTTACTTGGTATGATCTGTTTCCACTTTGACCTGAAAAAGCCTTTGTGTGCATTTCTGAGCAAAAAGCCAAGTTATATTTACTGTAATACAACGTTGAAAAGCAGTTTTTGAGGCACTTCAGCGCTCAGCAAGGAAGTGAAAGTTCCAATAAGTTGGACATTTTAAATCCTATCTAGTTCCCTTCCTGCCCTCCCTTATATGTGTGTGCAGGTAAGTTTGTATTGACAGTGAAGGATGTCAGGTTTCCATTTAAGCTGTTTTAAAGTAACCCCACTGTACCTGTCTCATGTCTCTGTGCTGTGCAGGTGCTGTTGCATCCTTGCAACTCGCTGCACGGCGTCACGGTCACAGAGTAAGCTGTGTTGCACCTCAGATCTGAGAGCGCACACACCGGTGATGTGTCGTTACAGTGGACGGTGCCGTAAGTCTCCGCTGCTGTCGTCTTGTACAGCTCGGACCCTCTGACAGGCGACCACATGATCTCCAGGGTCTCGGTAGAAACCAGCTTGATGGTAACATCATGTGGACAACAAGGAACTAGAGAGGAGGAGAGACGCAAAAAACAGATTGGGATGATAATTAATACTTGGCAAATGACAATACTGGTTGTTTGATACGTTTTTAGATCATTTTCTACCTTCCAAGCCACTGATGTTGTTGCTTAATATCAGACTAGTAGGATCATAAACCTGCAGGTACTTAAACATTGGCTCATTAGATTGCTTTGAATAAATCTTATTTTTGCTTTGAGTTGTGGACAAATTTGATTAGCATGACATCTTCACTTTTCAGGACACTACAGATAGGATAACTGTGAAAGTTGTATGAGTAATGGGACACCAATGTGAACTAGTACAACAAAGTGGGCTTTTCAGATATGTTGTGATTGTACCAAATATTAGCAGAAGTGGGCGTGGCCTATATCAGCAGAGGCGGTTCCATGTAAGAAATATGTGAATATGAAGTATTCAAATGTGTGATTTACACTTCTTAAGCTATTCAACCAAACACAGTTTTGTTTATTATAGTGTTCTCTTGCAGTCACTCTTCACACTCTGGCTTTCTACTTTCATTTAAGAGATATTTTTAGAACAATGCCAAGGTGGAGATTCCAGCCAAGACTTTAGAGTTTGCTGCCAATAAGCCTTCCAACCATAAACTATGATGCCATAAAACCAAATCTAGAAAACGAACCAAAACCATTAGACCCTGAAAAGGACAACGAGGCTTTCAGGGTTTCTCCTATTAAAATTCAAAAAGCTACCAGTTAATTTTCAGATGTTAAGTTGACATGTTTTAGTGGCGGCAGGTGAAAAGTAAAATGATCCTTTCCAGAATGGTTGGTTGTGATGTAAAGTAGAATATGTGTCTGAAGATGTTAGCTGGTGTTTATTACATATTATACAGCTGTATGACTTGGAGCAAGCCTGTGCTGCTGGTGCTGCTGTATATGCAGGTGCTTCTGTGTGATGGTCCTACTGGTGGTGTAGTTGCGGACGTGCGCATAAGGGCTGGAGCCGGCGTGGTTGTAGGGTATTACGCTGGTGAGGTAGGTGTAGCCACACATGCAGAAGAACTGGCAGGTTGTCTCGGTGGTATTGCACGACTCCTCTGCCCCGTCGTCCCTTTTAATGTAAGCGACGTAGTGCTCCACCAGCGGCACATCGTCCCACATCACAGAGCAGTTACCGGCTGTGGGCTCCTCCACCCAGATGTTCTCTGGAGGACATGGGTCTGTCAGAGACATACAGTTCCCAATAAGTAGAAGCACTCTTTAAGACGTAAGGCACGTGGTAAATGTATGTTAGAAGTGACTGCGGCTGCTGTGTGTGCTGTACCCACATGTAATGTAGTTAAATGGATCTGAAGGACTGCTGGGTCCAGCTTTGTTATAGGCTATGACAGTAACGGAGCGGCTCTGGCCGCACTCTGCAGGTATAATGTAACAGTGGTTGTCTGATGGTTGTCTGTTAACTGAAGAACAGTTCTGGCCGTTGGACGTCAAGGCCACGTAGACGTCCGCACCCTGCACTGACAACCAGTGCACAGTGATCCCAAGAGACCGACCCTGAGTCACCGTGACGAGGGTCACATTTGGGCTTGAAGGACCTGGAAATGACAAAAGTATGCTACAGTCATGTGGCCACCGAGTTGATGTTGGTGCAGTTTTTTTTGCTGTTTTTCTTGCTTACGTGTGATCTGGCAGACAGTGTTGTCGTCACCAGTACGACCCTCAGAGTCCCAGGCTGTGCCCTTGATGCAGTAACGAGTTCCTGGTTCGAGGTTGTCAAAAACCGTCATGGTGTCGGTGGTGTTGCGTTTGAGGCGGATGCTGGAGCCCTCTTGGATGATGCAGAGCGTGTAGAACACGGCGTGCTCCACACGAGGCCAAGTCACATTGATGGTGACGTTGGTGGGGGAGGACGCCTCCAGAACGGGGGCCATCACCACTACAGAGACAGAGAAGAATAAGTGGCTTTAAAAAAAAAATCAATAAAAAAACAAGGAATGGACAAACACAAAGATGTCTTACTTCAACCCTCCCTTTTCCATGTTTTTTTTTTGTATGAGGTGTAAAATGGAAACAATTTTGCTGGGATCATATTACAGTCAGTTCTCCTTCAGGACGGGAGACAACCTAGTTCTCATGGTTTCTCTTTTCATTTTCTGAAAATACTGTACTGCAGAGGGATGGATACGGTTTCCACCCTCCTGCTTTGGCCGTAAAGAGTAGAGACTCGTTGACAATGGACAGTGAAATGACAAACCGTTGTGGCCGGCGGAGTGAGATAACAAGCTATTGTTCTACAGGAACAACAGAAAGGCTGCGTTTCACTCTTCAGACACTGATTACCATCTTGAGTAAACTCCTACTGATCTGTAGTGTCTAGACAAGTGAAAGTGCATGGAGATTTAGCAAGAACAATGTTAGTCAAGATATTGAAAACCACTAAATAGATAGACCCGCCAGATCTTCTATCAGCGTTTGATACGCTCAGGTCAGTGCGTGGTGTCGTGGCAGACTTTCCCCCGTACCTGTCCTGATCTCAACAGGTAGTGAGGGTTGGCTCCTCCTCCAGGCGTTGACGGATATGACGCTCAGGATGTAGTCTGTGTAGGGCTGCAGCTCCATCACGGTGCCCGGAGAGCCGCTCACACTGGTCTCAGAGAAGAAATCACCTGACTTCGACTCTGCCCTCAGGATGTAGCCGGTCGCCCCGGCAACCTCTGTGAACTCAACAGTGATGCTGTCGCTGTTTTTGGAGTAGGCCTTCTCAATGCTGGGCACCTCAGGAGCTACAGAGCAGATGACAGAGAATAGCTAGCGTTAAAGTGCGATACTTTCAGGAGTCCTGCTTTTTTTAACATAAAGCAGTGATGGAATGTAACGAAGCACATTTACACACCTACTCCACTTAGTGTCCTTTTTTTTAAAAAAATCTTTTTTTATACTACATTTCACTTCATTACTGCACTACACTGTAAAAAAAAAACTGCTTTAACTGTAATTTAATATGTATATATATAGCAGCTATTCTACAGAGTTTCACTGTTTTGTTAAAAACAGATAATAACCAGTAAAAACACAGAAAAACATATTAATTTAACCATAAAAAAATGGCAGTTCTTACTTTTACAGCATTAAAATTACGCTATTTTTACAGTATTTAATTCAGCAACAATCACTATTAATGTATCGACTACTCGAAAAATCACCGAAACAAGTGTTGATGTTTGTGTTGCCTTAAAAAAAAAGTTTTTCAGGCGCCCTTGAGTGTCTCACACTTTTTAAAAAAAAATTTTTAACAGAGCATTCATTTGCAAGCTGTGGCAACTAATTACTACAATTACTACAATTTTATTTGCAAAATAGGAGAAGATCTTAGAAATACAGGCTAAAACTCACCATCACTTTAACTTTTTTTTTTTTTTCTAATTGCTCAGTGAATTGTTCTGCTTAACAAAAAAAAGGAAATATTTCTAACTTCCAATAACCCAAAGAGAAGTCTGCAAATGTCTTGTTTGTCCCCCTCACAAAATGAAAACCCAAAGATATTCAGTTTAATGACGTGTAACAATAGAAAATTAGAGAAAAGCTACAAATTTACAATAGAGAAGCTGGTGCATGTTTAACTTGAGCAGTTATGATGCACGTCTTTAAATAAAAGTCAGAATCAGATCAACCAGCTGTAACATTTAAACGCTGCTCAAATAAATATAATGAAATTACTTGAGGTTCCTCCATAATGAGCCTGTAAAACTTTAAATACATAACTTTTACTTGTAGTGGAGCATTTCTGCATTGCTGAACTGCCTCTTTTACTTCTTCCACCACATCATAGAGTATAGAGTGTGTCCACATTCACACTTTAATGTATGATAAAGAACCTGAATCGCCACCAGGAGTCAGTTTTTCTGTCTTCGCCGCAGCTACTGACCTGTTAGTACTTCGATCTCTGCACTGCTGAGGACATTGCCATCATTGTCCATGGCTTCTAACGTCACGGTGTACACTGTGTTTGGTGACAGGGAGTTAACTGAGCCTATGACTGTGTTGCCGCTGAATTGGGCGAAGACCGGTTGCTCTGGAGTGTTCTTGGGGGTCGCTGTGAGCTTGTAGGAGCTGGCATCAGCGGGGAAGCTCCACTGCACGGCTATACTCCTCGATGACACAGTAAACTCTGACAGCGTGATGTCTGAAGGGGATAGAGAGAAGAGAAAAAAAAACATTGGAATGAATTCAAAATGACGTGGAGGTGCTATTAAATATATATGAAAAGTCTGATGCTCATAAAGTAAAAACAATGCATTTAAAAGATGCTGTTGATAATTGGAGCTGTGCAAAAAGTATCTTAAGGCAAATATTAAATAAACTTTTACCGTTCTGAGCCGTGCATATCTGAAAACGACAAAACATGGCAGGTTAATGAATGAAATGATGTTAAATGACAGGAAATACAGCATTTTCCAGACAAGGACATGATTCCAAGGGTAGCAAGCTTTTGGTATTTCACATTATATCCTGAGGCAAATTATGCCCTGTATCATATTCTCAGAGCATGAGAGGCAGCAGGCTGCACATTACCTTCACTCAACACAGATTTCAGGACTGGTCAGCGCAGGTATTTCTTTCAGGTCGGAATGAATTTGTCTATTGAGCTAAGGTTGGGCACGCCACACGCACTTGTTGAAAGCAGCGACGCTCAAAAGAGCCTGTGTTCAAAAAGTTCATCCTTTACACACAGTTTAAAATTAACTCAATATCAAAGATACGGGAAACACGGCTGCACATGTTAAGATAGTTCTGTGTGTTGCATTTTTTGTTCAAATGAATCATCACTTACCTCTGTGATGGTCAATAGAAGCAAAAGTTTCAGCATCTTTAACTGCATTGTTCCCATGCCTTCGCCTGTTTTCCTGCTGAGCCTGAAGGCGTGATGCTGTTTCCTCAAAGTGACTTCAGGGAAGCAGCCCAGGCTTAAATTTAACTCTTGTTTTTTTCTTTTTTTTTTTTTGTCTCTCTCTCTCCCTTCCTCTCTCAGATGAAACGACAGGTGCTTTATTGTTTCAGCAAAAATACCAAAGAGCCCAAAGGCTGTAACTCCTCCCCTCAGGGGTGTTTGGGTGGCCTATCAGAGCGGGAGATGGAGGCTCACCTTTGTCAGATGAGGATGTTGATTGTTTTTAAGAAGGGACTTATTACAAACTGTTTCATGTTTTATTTCTGCAACCATTCCACTGAAATGCTTTAATTAATGTAAACTATATTCTGTGAGTTAAATATTTTGTACCCACCAATGAAATTACTCTACCGTCCCAGCTGAGACGTGTTATATAAAGAGACAACGTGATCTGTTGTTTGGTGTCTGGAAGGAAGAAGAAGAAGAAGCTTATTGGCTGGTTAAGGTTTCATGAGGACAATATTTGATTTCTGCTGATTTTTCTCTCTTGTGATTCCTCGTGATAGATGACACCTGCTTTTAGTCATTTTGTCCTCAATTTGTCAGTGCCTGAGTTAACACACATGTATCAGGTTATCAGGAACACTTCAGGATTTGATTACTGTAAATATAGATATTGCATTTTAGTTCATTTTGTTCGTGTTGCTCTACAGTAAACCACTTTTATTTTCTCTGATGTATATGTAGTATTTTTTTTAGTGTTTATTTTTAATTTCTCTGGCGTTTTTGTGCCTTTATTTGAATCAGACAGTGGACAGAGTCAGGAAATGTGGGGAAAAAATGGTCCAACCAGCAGGAAGTCAAACCTGGGACTTGCCACTCAGGACATTTGCACCCATTCGTGGCCCCTTAAATACAATAAACTGCTTCAGAAGTCACCTGAGGCCAGGATTTACTGTCACTCACTAACAAACAAATAAGCAGAAACTTACAGCTTATGTAACCATATATAAAACCGGTTTGGTACATTAGGATTTGGAGAACATTTAGAAACTTCACACCTAAATCTACTGTAAACCTTTCTGTGCTCTATAGAATTACTGTACACGCAAATAGTTTCAGGTGAAGTGACAAAGACAGAGCTGGAATGATAGCTTCTCTGCTCCCAAGCGGCTGAGTATCTGCGTCAGGTGTGCGTTATGAAAAGGTGCTGGGTTGGATCCCTGAGGACCGGCTACGGACAAACTCTTTTGTGCGCCAAGGCCGAAAGGAGAAAGCTGATCAAATTCAGCTTCACACAAACAAGATGATCACCGCTTTCAAAGAGAACAAAAAGGAACAGAGTCCAATTTCCCATCATCACTACTACAGATGTTCTTCATGGTATATGAGTTTGTGGGGGAACCTTTACTGCTAACCAGTATCTGGACATTTAAAGACTTTTGGTTCTTCAGGCTGTTTCACCACATTCAGTTTTAAATAAATGATGTTAGCATGAGTATTGGAATAACTGTGTGGCAGATCCACTCTTTTCAACACACAGAGCCCAAGTTTAATGGGTTAAAAAGTAATTGGACACTATGAACAAAACAGCTCAAACATGCCTTGGAGGTGATGGTTGTCATTTTAGTCAGCTTGACATCAGTATGCGGCATCAGGAGGTGACATGAAGAAAATCATAATGTGGCTCGAATACAATCTGACAGACACGTGTCAGTGGTATCATTCTAGTAAAAGAAAAAAAAACACAGGAAAACTATAAAAATCCCAACAATCCAGTCACCTGAGGAGCACAGATTTGTTCGCTCAGCTTCAACCGAATGCAGCAAACCTTGGATGATTCAGCAGGGCAGCAATTCCAAAGAGAAGCCGAAGCGACCAAAGAGGTGAAGAGGAGGAACATTGCTGCCTGCTTCGGTTAATCATCCAATCAGTCCAAATAAACTGGCTGAAGATTACAAAAAAAGAGCAAGACTCCCCGCACCAAGTGAGAGCTGAAGGTGGCTGCAGTGAAGCCCGAGAGGAGAGCATCACCAAAGACTGCAGAGGATTTACATAAAACATGAAATTAGATGTTTTGATTCATGCATATGTTTGAAATTACTTTTGTGATATAAGGGCTACATCTTACACAGTTGTTTCTACATTGATGCAAACTGAATAACTGCTCACTGGACTGTATATAGCAACACATCAAAGTATTAATTCCTTTTCCACTTAAACAAGATGGCTGATGTTTTCTGAAAAGCGTAGTTAGTAAAATAAGATTGTTTTTCTTATAGACTCTACAGTCGGATTCAGTTCTCCACATGTTGGTCTGCAATCTCCACATTCTGATCATCATCATTTGAAGTCTGATTCTCAGACTTCAAAAAGACTTCCAAAACATAATCAGTAATTATAATAATCCACCAGTGGTTTAGTTTTGGAAACTAGGGATCCATTATTAATTCTCAAAGACACCCGCCAATGAGTTTCCATCAAACAAAGCACTCAAGTCTCCAACACAAACTGCTCGGTGTCGAAAAAATAATCATGTTAAGATAAGTTTGGCTCGATAGAGATGAAATATATGAACTCATAGCTGGATGCTGCTGAAATGTACAGCGTTAAAGGAAAATCCTTCTTTTACTAGCTTTGAAATGTAGTTTTTTAAAGAAATGTTTAGGTACAAAAACTAACTGAAAATTTGAAATAACCACGTATTTGTTTCCACTGGACATTTACTGAATTAATACATTTAGTTAATTGTGATTCATCTTGTTCCAACAGCTCATAATTAGAGGCTTCCACAAGCCTACAAGTTGATACGGGTAAATCAGTGAATTTCTTCTCCTCTGAATTTCACCTGCTTAAGGAAAAAAAAAGTCACTGAATTTCCCCCAAAAAGACATCTAGAAGAAAAGGCAGCACTCCAGTGGTCCACTCTGTAAAAGACCAAAAAACAAAGAAGAATCCTAGTCCAAAAATAAAACTCACAATAAAACACTCTCAAGAGAGACATTTAAGAAACCTTAGGGAGAACCACAAAAAGGAACCACCTTGCAGGTTTAATAAGTTGGAGGTTACTAGGATGTAGCATTGTGTCGCTACAGTGGATCAGAACCAGGTGCACTGCTGACATGTACACTCATTCACGTATTATCTGTATTTGTAGGAACCATGAGATGCAGCTACGTACAGAATATCCTTTGGTTGACACAACGATGGCTGATAATTGCTAATGTTTTTCAGCATTAAAGTATTGTAATAACTTATTTTAACAGAAAACATCGTATCCTATGTTGAGCTGATGGCATTATTCTACTGTATTAAACTGCTTTGATATACATTCAACAATGTTTAGAAAAAGTTTTTTTTTTTCTTGGAACATAGTTTGTGAGGGTTGATTCTGTATTTGGGCTTAAATATGAGAAACAAACTGCACTGTAACCAAAGCGTTGACAGCTTGATGATAGCTTCACCTTCAGGAATGTGCTCAGATATGTCTTCTTTCCTGATACCCCCTTTAGAACAACAGAGAAATCCAACACCCCACAACAAACCCTGAATGCATTCCGGCACCGGACGACTACGATGGTGACACAAACGGGGTCACAAAGTTGCCCGACAGAAACTCGGTAAGGAGACACTGTGTCGGTAGCAGCCACAGGCCAGCAGCGGTGGGCACAGTAGCTCCGAGGACAGAAGATGAAACTCAGTCGAGGGTTTTTCCTGAAATGCAATATTACCGATTTGACCCAGATGTATTTTTGATTTAACCGTATCTCCTTTTCGCTGGTGGCTGTTTGTGTGTCTTGGGTGACTTATAGTTGGGGAGCAAGTTAAATAAGAAAAGAAGGCAAAGCGGGTTAGGTGACACAAGCGTAGTGTCATGGAGCGCCATAAAAAGATAAAGTTTAGCTTTATTGCTGAGTCACATTGTACTGTAGTGCTGTACTGTACATTGTCCTGTAATGGCGACTGTAACTGGATAGCCCCTTTTACAGATACCAACATTACTGCTATATTAGATGTACCTGTAAAGTATGTGTTAAACTATGTTGATCCACTATTGTACTTCTGGCAAAAAATTTTACGCAAAAAAGTTATTTTGCCTACTACAGTGGATATAAAGTAGTTGTTTTGGTCACATTTTACACACTTGTCAGAATAAAGTTTGGATGCTGGATGATTTATTTTTTATCTTTTTCTGAAATTCAGATTAATTCAGAGACATTCCGTAAAAGAAAAATGCTGTTCATTAGCAAAAATATCAACTCACTTTAAAAAAAACTTCAAAACTCACAATACAGAAGTAATGTTATACCAAAAGGTGGTTTTTACAGTGTGGTTCAAGCACTTTTAGGCTTTTGTGTCTTTTATAAATATACAAACATGTACAAAAACAAAACAAGCTGAGCACAAATATATGTCCGTAAATAACTCAAAATCAGAGATGTTATTATTAAGATATATGCTACATGTGTCTCTGGTACTGTATGGACTGCCCTCAGATGGATGGTAACAAGATAAACTGATGGTACTCGGGGTGTTATAAAGCCTGGTGTTTTCTGCCCCCCAGTGGCTGCATGTTGTGCAGTTTTCTGTGCAGCTGAGCTTTGACCAAGTCAGCAGACAGCCTCCTGGCCATGCGATCAGTGGTCCTCTTCATGCTGCGGGCCACTTCAATAGCCTGATCCAGAGTCCTGCTCATGTCTTCCTCCTGGGAAACCAAAGGAAACTTTAGTTTAAGCATGAATACATTTCACAGCTCTTACTAATTGTTGGTGCTTTTTTAAAAAACAACAACAACAACAACAACAAAAAAGCAACAGATGCTCTTGTATGTAGAGAAAATGTCTGGAATGTCAGCGTCACACATGTTAGAAGCTGACCTTGCTCCTGCTGCGTCTGCTTGTTCTGCTGCCGGTCTTGGACACTGGAGACAGCGTCCGTTGGAAGTACACGTTGCTGGGCAGGAGTGCTGTGTCTGACTGGGTGGAGCGCTTCCTGTGGGGGGACTGCAGCGGTGGCTCCCTCACTTTATAGCTTGAGGATAAATATTAAGAAAGACAGAACTTTATACATTGCCCATAAAAAGTATTCACTAACCTTTTCCTTTTTTATTGCTCCCTTGTTATTGATGTCAACGTTGAATCGTGGTTGATTTTGTCTGTTGATTTGTCTTTTCCGACAATGTTTTACAAACAAAAGACTATTTCATGTCAACGTAAGTACAGATTTCTATGAGGTTATGTCAATTAATTAAAAATACAAAACATAAAATAAGTGATTGCACCCCCTTTAAGTCAGTATTTAGTAGATGCACTTTGACCACAATAACAGCGTTGAGCTTGTGTGGATAGGTGTCCATCAGCCTTGATCTTCTTTGCAAAACTTCTCAAGCTCTGTCAGGTTGCACAGAGATCCTGACTGAACTTTTCCAGTCCAGCCACAAACTCGTAATTGGATTGAGGTCTGGGCTTTAACTTGGCCACTCCAGAACATTCACCTTGTTGTCTAAAAAATCTTTTCCTAAGTTGTAGTTCTCTTGCAGACGAGTTGTCCTCCAGGGTTTCCCTATACTTTACTGCGTTCATGTTACCCTTAACCTTTACAAGCCTTTCTGGGCCTGCTGCCGAGAAGCATCAGCACATCATGATGCTGCCACCACCATGCTTCACAGTAGGGTTGGTGTGATGATGTGCAGTGCATGGTGTCTGTCAAACATAGTGTCTAGTGGGATGGCTAAATCAATACTTTTATAGGCACTGTACTTTATTAAGTCCACTGATAAGTATTTGTAACCCTGCAGGTTGTATTGTAGATGTTTTACCTGGCCGGCAAGCTGCTGGAGGAACCGTAGCTGACCTGGAGGAGGGGCTTCTGGAGGGATGGAGTGGAGAAAAGAGTCCACCTGTCCTTGGAGTGAAAACTCTTCATGATGGCTGCTGATCACAGAAACACGAGAGGTTCTTCTACAGTGTATTCTAATAATCCACAGTATTACACATACAGTGATGACGCTTACAGCATTGATCAGCCAGCTCAGAAAACCCAAGTTTTCTTTTAGTAAATTCTTTCCTGGATTAGGTTTCATGCTGTTACTTGTGTGCACTTGTTCAAAAAAGCGTATCTTTGTTTCGTTTGATATTCTAGAAACCAGGTGAACAGATTACTTACTCTGTGGTCTTTGCTTGACCTTGCTTTCAGAAGTTCCATCATTTTCTAATATAAAACCGTTGTTTGTTGCCGATCCTACAGGAGGGCAAACATGGCGCTCAGTACAACATCATTTGCACAGAAAACCCAAATAGGCAAAATCACGATGTACTCTGCTGTGACCTTGTTTCTGACCTCTGTTGGACTGCATCGTTTCCTGAAGTTTGTATTGTATCTCAGCTCCGCCACCTCTACCGCTCCCTGCAGGTGAGTTGAGCGCCTGCGACATTATTTCGGAGCAGCTTGTGTTACCGCTGCCTGTACCTGGAGACAACATGATCAAAACAAATTGAAAGGTGGAAGACAGATGATCAGAAACTGACTAATAGACAAGTGGAGCAATATTTTAAATACTGTCACATAGTGGTGGAGTACCTTTGCTCTTGCTGGGGTCCATGTCTGATGAGATCCAGTCCTCTATCCTCGCCTGACTGGAGCTGAGGTTACTCACACCTCTGCTGCTTGACTTCCCCACACTAGAGGTTATCATAAAATGGTCACAATGTTGGCTATATTATAATTTGATGGTCTATCCAGGTCTTGTCCTGCCTCATATGTTATTGTCCTCAAACATAAAAACAAGCACTTGGAATCTGTATTTGGTACAGCCTTTATAGGAGTCTGTTTTTATCCATTGATTATCGAATATAAATCAGCATCAAACTAAAAAAAAGTCACATAAATGCACCCTAACATGGAAGAGCAGACTCACCTGTCTGGTTTTTGGTGGTTCCTGGTTTTAGACTTGCGCTCCTGACGTTCTTGTCTGTATTTTGAGGTGAGGTAATCCATTTTTTGTGTTAGGTGTGGTAGCTGAACTAAGCCCACCTCCAGGTCCTTCTTCAGCTTAGAGACCTCTGACTGCAAGGCCAGGATAGCCTCACTGGTCACACACACACACACACACACACGAGCAACAGACAATGATTCAGTCTTTATCCATGTTAATGAAGCAACTGGTTAAGTTTTCAGCAGTCCATAACATACTGACTTATTACAAGAGCAGGAGTACAGAGGGCTGCCTCTGTCTTCGGTGTCCATGGTCGTGCTGAGTGGAGCTTCAGATAGAGGAAGCTGGGCAGGCAGGTATTGGTCAGATCCTGTTTTGTGGTGGAGAAAGAGTTCATCATTTTAGTATTGACCAGACAAGATGGAAAAAAAAAAAAATACATTTGAAGGTAGGTTTAGTCACCCTGCAGGCTGTCTGAAGGGTCCTTAGTGGTGCTCTCCACCCACAGCTCCACTGCAGCTGCTGCTCCACAGTGCTGTGTTTGGGCAGAAGAGTAGGTTCCAGCCCACTGGCAGCCAGGCAGAGCGGCTGAATGGATGGCTGTCTGCAGGTTGGAGCAGGAGCCGTCACTGTCTGAGCTATTTAAACCTTCATTCTGGGACTGTCTGCTGTAGACGGGAAGATAATACTTAAAACTCTCAAGTTAGAACCACGTGATGTGTAGACAGCGACTGTGGATCAGCCACTAAAATACTCTGATTGTACCTTTGTGAGAGGAGATTTGGTTGAAATGATCCAGAGGCCGATTGATTCAAGTAAGAGCTTCCAAATCCGCTGTCTGTCTCTGGACTCACAATCCTCTGCAACTCGAAAAAACACAACGATATTTAGAACAAAGTGTCCTTTATACACCACTGCAACTTCAACAGCATCCCTAAAACTACTACTTGTGTGATATAAAATTTTAATTGTAAGGCCTGGAAGAAGCCAACACACATCTGCGACTGACCTGTGACGCACATGAGGTGTTAAGAGGAGGCTCTGAGAGGCTGTCCGAGTCTTTGGGTGCTTCAGAAGAGGAGGAGACCTCCACTAGCAGACTCACACTATCACCCTGATCACATTCACCCTTTGGGTTCAGGACACTATCCAGGGTGCTACAACTGCAGGAATAACACATGAGATATTTATATAGAGAGAGAATCTGCAGAGAAGAGACGATGTGTATGATAAGAAATATATCACCTTATTCTAGAATCACAATACAGACTGTATGCATAAACAACTCCCCTACATTGTGACATGTATATGTACCAGTCACATATTATTTTAAAGGAAAACCAGCATAAAGAAAATACAACAAAGTCCACTCATAGCCCACTGTTTTATAAGGTCATGGACACCATCACACCACAACACTGACCCGTCAGCTGCCTGCTGCCTCTCTCTTAAGGATGAACTGGTTCCGCCCAGGCATGCTAAGACGTCACTGTGATCGATCACCTCTGACAAAACAGAGCTCCTCTCCTCTTCTTCATCGGCGCCCTCCTCGTCCTCAGCTGCGTGGATGCTCGGTCCCTCCAGAGAGTCCAGTGGGACCCTGAAAAGGGACGGAGAGGAAAACCTGCACACACAGACCCAAACACTGTGTTCCCTCTGCACAGTGGAACCCAACACCAACACCGTGCCCGAAACACTATCCGCCCTCAGGAAGGCCGAGAACGTGCCTATTATATGAGCACAAGCACGCATGCAAGCACCACTCAAAGCATCAATAGCTGGAGACAATAAAGTGGTGCGTTACAGTATGTTACTGCATCGAAGCAGAACTACTTTCGTTTTTCTGCATATTTACCAAATATATATACAGTTAGAACTTTGTTTCACTCTGCTGACCAGCAAAAACATTCATTACTCCAAATTATGAGATAGTATTCAAAAAGAGAAACGTCTATTTTAGGAATTTAAATGCCAAATATTGAGTTTAAAATATATATATGTATGTATATTATTAGTACCGTGAATGGTTGTTTTTGGGTCCAGCATTTTTCTTTATGGGGTCATCAGTCATGAGTTCACTGCTTTGGTCTCGTCTAGCATTTACATGGACCTCGCTGTCCCCCTCTTCTTTTTCTTCGTCTCTCTGAGACGTCTCCATCTTATCGCTCGCAGTGGAAAAACCTGCACTTGGCCCCTGAAACACAAAACCCAGTCAGATCATTTGTAGTTCATGTAAACACGTGCATGCACTCAGCATCTCCTTCAGGTGAGGATTTGTGACAAATGAAGGTGCAGGGTGTGGATGCAGATCGGCTCCTACATTTTAACATAGAGTAACATTAGTTTCAGTTTGATAACATCAGCATGGCGGCTAGCTTATGTTTGCCAGGTGTAATGTTTACCATCGCCAACCTGTAGAGTGTTAGCTTGCAAAACATAGATGAGGCTAAAGGGGGTGCCATTAGGTTTGTAGGTAATTGGACAGTTTTGGATCAAAGTTGTGCTCCATAAAAAGTCTCGGGATCATCAAAGTCCTTTTACTTTTTGTATTGTTATGTTTCTGGGTATTTAAGGACATTTATATTGACCCTTGAAAATGGAAAAAAAAGTACAAAGTCTTCAAACAAAGGTGGTACTGAGGGCTCAGAATGTTCTTTGAGTGTAAACATATAGCTGTATCCATACTTCCTACTAAAGGTACAGTCTTTTGTTGACATTTGACAAACTTTTGAAGCCTCTCAAACGAAAAGAATTTGATCTTTGGCAAGTAAGTAGAAGATCTGAGACGACAGATAAAAAAAACGCTATCTGAAATGACGCAGACTGACCTGGACAACAACATTCTTACTGGTAGAAACTGTACTTCAAGATAAGTATCATCGAAACTAATTGTAAGACATCTAACAATCGAAAAGTCTATGTGGCTGCTACTTAACTGCTCGAGTGGATATGCATGGCAGATATCTGAAATTCAGTTCTGTTCAAGCAGATGACATCATTTTGAAATACAATCATGGATTTCTGCAACTGCACAGTTCTAATTTAACTTGTGAATATCCAACATTGTATTTTTATTAGTCATAATGGGTCTTGCATATACAGAGTTATCTAATGTCTGTGTAAAATTTCATGCAGTTTGTCTGATATTATTTATTGCGCTATGACCAAACATGCAATTCTTAGAGCTCTGGTGCTGAAGCAGCTATAAACCGTGAATGAAATGTGGGGTAATGATGTGTCTGTTACCTCATGCAGAGATGGTGGAGATGAAAACGTGTTCATGCAGACAGGACTGGACTTTACGTGCTGTGACGTTGTTACAGGCGTGGGAGTGGAGGATGAGTGAGGTGGAGAAATTTGCTCACGCACGTTTTTGTCTATCATCTCCTTTATGTCTTCGAGGTGCATTCCTATCCTGAATATATCTCCCTCCACTAGTCTGCACACACGACAACACACACATGCACAAATATGCGCACATGTGAATGGATACGCAAACCTGACACTGACACAGTCACACAGGTTGAATGTTGTGATCTCGTTAACCTGTTTGGGTCAAAGGTGCCAGTGTTCCTGGACAGGCCCATGTAGTTCTGCATCTCCAGAGCTCGGTGCTCGTCCTTCTTGCTCATGTATCTCCTTTCCAGCTGGTCCTGAGCCTCCATCATGCTCCTCAGCATCTGACAAAGGTAAAGTTCTTTTATTCATCTCAATACAGGGAAAAAAAAGTCTTTATTTGGACCACTCGTAAATGTCAGATATAAACTGTTCTTACCATTTGCTGTTCTCCTGTGCTTACAGCCATAGTGCCTACACTGAATTTGAACTCTTCCACCTGAACAGAAGAGGGTTTTTTGGTGTTTGTGTATTTGATGGTAGCTTTGTAAACATCTGGAACATTTTCAAACTCACCTTCTGCATGAACTGGCTGATGATGTCTCTTAGCTCAGCGGTCATTTTCTCGCCGTCACTGGGATCATCTTGATGCTGGCTTGAGGAAGCTGTGGTGGCCTCCTTATTAATGGTGCTGTCGAGACCTGTTTCTCCTTTTTTACTTAGGTTTTCTGCAAACAAACCCGGTAGCACACCCGATTAGAGTTGGGGTCATTGCTCCAAAAAAATTGTGGTACACATTACTGGTCACCTTTTCAAAAGCTGATGCATGACTTAAGCTATTTACTTCCTTTATAAATTAATTTGTCACATTATTTTTTGCATTCCTCTGCAGCATCACCTGAGATGCATTGTCACATATTTGCCAGTTAACAATACGACATTAAACTTTACATATCCCCACGTATCAGGACATATTCTGATCCTAAAAAAAGGAAGAAATAGACTAATCTTTCTTCTATACTCGTTAACATACTACTACCAAAAAGGTGACAACAAAATTGGTGGGAAAAAAAGCCCAAAGAACACTTTACAGAAAAATGTTGTGGTGGGAACAAGACTCCATTGCACGTCTAAGAGAAGCAAGGTGGCACTGGCAGTAGGTTGTACTGCCTCAAAATAACCATTATTGACTGCTGAGTTTAGAAACTGTAACTCATTACATTACTGTTTACAGACAAACGTAATGTGATTACAGTTATGCATTATTTCCCAATAACACTGCACCAAATTGTAAACGACATGTCATTTATAAACTTCCACATTTCTCCTCCAGGATTTTTACTGCCATAATATATTATTTTAGAACAATTAAATCTTCTTTTTAGAAATTATTGAATCAGTAGAGCTGACAAGAAACAAGATTGAGTGCACTCTGTGATAATCTAAAAATAACAATCATCAATAATTAAAATTTCTGATCATTCCTGGTTTAAAAAAAAAAAAAGTCAGTCAATTTTACCTACCCCAATGACTTTTTCTATTTATTTTTTTAACTGGAAATGAGCAATGAATGAGGCTTGGCCAACTGTATTTTCTTCCATTTAGATTTTTTTTTATGCCGCTAGAATGTCATCTGACCCCACTTCTCTCTACAGATACTGGTTGCACTTTGCTGCATAATTTGCAGGTAGGGCAGCAAAGCGTTGGCTTGTCATAATATCAAATGTCAGACACAGAGACGTACCTGATGGTGAAAGGTGAGGCGCTGGGTATCCTAGATGGCTCCCCTCCATTAACTCGCCCTGATCAGCTTCATCCCCGTCATTATCATCATCATCATCATCATCATGCTCTAAATCAAGCATCAGTTCTGAGGAGGGCTGAGTCTGTGAAAACAGACCCATAAATTAGTAACTTGTACTGAGAACTTGATTTTTTAACTAATTTGAATTTCCTAAAGCACATGTAATGCATGCCAAAAAAAGAAAAAAAAGAGAGTAGAGAACTTACATTGGTTCCCAGCCTCATTTGGTCTATGAGGTTCTCTGCCTCTGCATACTTGGTGAGTAGTTTATCATATTCAGCCTTAAAAAATCAGAGACAATTTCAGTTATAGTCTTGTGTCATAAAGCACAGCTTTGTCATGGTGTGAGGAAATAGAAGCAAAAGAAACTAGATTCTGTTTCTACCTGCAGGTGATGCACCAGTGCCGGAGAAGTCTGTTTATCATCCTCTTTAAAAACATATGGCCTCTCTGACGGCTGGACTGAATCCTCCAGAACCCTGCTGATCACATCTAGCATCCCTGGGGAAGACTGGGCTCTGTGCATGGTGCTTGGACACTGAGGAGCAGATCTGGCTGGTCCACTTGGAGCTTTTGGGATTTTTACTTTTGGGGCAACCTTTGAGAAGTCAGGTGGGGGGTAATGAACCTGACCTTGGCCATACTTCATCTCGCTGAAGGATCTGGTGCGCAGCAGAGGGACTCGCTGCACCTCATCGTCCTCTTCTGCCTCTTGCTGCTTCACTCCACCTGCACTGATATCCCCACTGCACTGGTTTGAATCTGTACTGGCAGAGCTGGATTTATCTTTGTCAGCAGCAGCAGATGTAAAATTATCAATTTCCCTTTCTGTCTCCTTCTTTAAACTTGCATTTTTTGAAGCAGTTTTACTCTTTTCATCACAGCTGTCTGTGGGGTTACTATGAATAACGGCACTGTTGTGTGTTGGAGCCAAGCTGAAGAGCGTGTCGTCCACACTCTCCAGCAGGGACACCTCCGGCAGGGTCTCTGCCTCGATCAGTCTCCCTGATCGCAGCAGCTCCTCCTGGGAGAAGTGTCGCAGCAACAGCTGGTTAATGTCTGCAGGAATAGGGCACGGTGGAGCAACCTCACTTGGCTTGGCAGCTTCTAAAAAGTTGTCTTGTTTAGTGTTGGCATCCTCTGGCAACAACTCAAGTAGATCAGGACTTGCATGAACAGTGCATCTTCCATCAGAGCTCATATTTCCCTCAGAGCTTCCTGTCTGGTTGAAGTAGGGGCTTCCAAGCTCGCCATCATAAGGCAGATCCTCCTGATCCTCATCGCTGGTATTTTGTCCTGGATCCTCGTACCCCTGGTCTCGCATGGTGTTTGGTCTTTGGGCAGACACATGCAGCTTGCTGCTCTTGGTTTTGCTTTTTTCCACCCTCACACTCTGACTGCTGACGCTGCTGCTCTCTGAGGAGGTGTCATTTAAGGGTGACAACTCTGCACTCCCTGCAAATTAAAGAACGGAAATTACATAAATACCTAATTAGAAGGTCACAGTGATTAATTTAAGCTTGCTTGCCATGACTTTTTTAGAAATACTTCCAACCAACCACCATTTAGTCTGTGGCTCTGTGAGCGTGCAGTATGTCATTACATTTATCTCTAACAGTTTATCATTTCAACACCTTTAGGTTCGTCAAGCTACATGCAAACAACAAAAGAAAAAAAGATTTGACTTATCACTGTTGTATCATTTTTAAATTGAGCCACAGTACATTCCATTGTTTAAACTTAAAGTCATGTCCAGCATTTACTAACTATCTGTAACTTGTTCTTAAATGTATTGTTTGGCTGATACAAGAAACCCCTTCAGAAAACTAAAACTTACCACTGAGATGGATGCTGGCTTCAGAGGCAGCAGACTCTGCTTGGGACAGATGTAAAGCTAAAGAACTCTCCAGATCACTGAAGTGCAGACTTTCATCCTCACTGAGGTCCACAAAGATGCTCTGCTCAAAGCACTTTTCCCACAGCACAGTGGGCTGGTCCTCCCCCTGAACATCCTCATCTGACTCCTCTGGATCGCCCTCCATGGACACTTTCTCTACAACAGAAAACGTAAGTGGACACTCTATTCATGCTCTCTTCACCTGTGTTAAGAATCGAGGATGGTGCACCGGCTCATTACTTAGCAACGTAACATGTGAACTGACAACATTGGATGAAAATTGTGCTAAGCTGTCAATTATTCAACAATTACCACATTGTCTGCGCAGAAATTTGCGTGACACGAGTGTACAAGGTGTTGTGTGTGAGTTTTAAGAGAGACAATAGCAGAGGATTCCTAGCAATTTCCTGCACAAAAATAAAAGTAGTGATACTATAATGTAAAAATATGTAATTACAAATTGTTCATTTTAAATACATGCATTTTACAACATGTGAGCTGCATTTAATGTTGAAGATCATCTACACAGAATTCATTATTAAATATCCTGTAGTTTAATCTATGCATTTATGCACAATGTTTCAAAAGCACATACGTTTTGCATGTGAGGCCAAATTATAGGCAAAAAAAAAAGTTTAAAAAAATAAATAAATAAAAAACAATATTTTAGAATGATGATATGTTATTTTTTGTTGCAGTCTGTACCAAACAAGCATCCTCCCCTATGGCTGAAATATATGATTTAAAGGCCAGGGCATCTCTGAAACAACACTGTGCTTCATTTATTGTGATGTGTTTTGAGAATCTCAGCTTTATCAAAAAAAAAAATACAGCTTCTGCTATTTGGATGTGGCACATTGCTGTTCTGATATTATTTTGAGAACTTATATCTGTCAAATACATATCATAAGCTAAATCCTATCACATTTCCCTCTCAGGGAAGGTGGAGTGGAAGTAAAAAGTAGCAGAAAATTAAAATACTTAAGCAAAGATTCTTAAAGTTATACCTGTTAAGAGCAGTTTAGGAGTTCATATACTCAGTTATACCTTCCATCACTGGTGACAGATCACACGTGTGAGCACTGTGAAAGCTCTACAAGAAGTAACAACAAGCTACTAGGTTTTCCAAACACTATTTTCAGTCCCATCGTGTGGTATTTGTGTTGCTAGTAACTTACTGTGGTTATAAAGTGGTCCTCCGGTACATTAGTTCTAAGTTGATCCGATCCACAGCCGCCCTCCTGCTCCTGACATCATCCTGAAACCAGCTACAGTATTTCTCCCTCTTTCTGTCTTGACATATGGCTTCTCGGACAGGTTTAGTTTCTGCGGCATCATTAATAATGTAGTTTACACGGCAGCGCTGACCGTCTGGTCCCGGACTGCCAGCGTGAAGAAGCGGAGCTGGTTGCTGGGTAACGCTGCTGAAGCCCCTTTATAGAAGACTAGTGCAGAAGTTAGCTTTAGCAAGTTGAGCTAACCTCATTAGGCATTTATTGACATGATCCTTTTTTTAATTTAATTTTTTAAAACTGTCAGTAAGCAATACGCAGCTTGTGTTTAAAAGGCCAAGGTGTGTCAGACATAATAAAGTTTGTGTTTGTCAAGCGCTGACAGCTAAAGTACAACAATACGTCACCTCTTTTCTATTCAAATCCATTGGTCCAATGACTGTTATTCGGGGCGTGGTTAACTTTGAATGGCGCCCTGTGATTGGCTACTCGGAGAAAAACACACAAAGCTAGTGTAGCCGCAACATTTTTTTTTCTCTTTCTTATCAAAGTTAAATCGGAGTTTTACCAAAGTTAAAGGACAATGTAGCGTAGGTGTAAATATAGTACAGTTTGTTTTAATATGTACAGCCATTTTTTTCAGTTTTTTTTAAACGGACCTATGTTTTTAATCTTGTGAGAAACTACAGAAAAGAAGAAGAGAAGTCACCATTGTTCGAACTGGATCGCCTAACGTAAGTTTAGCGGCTAACAAGCTAACGGAGCTAATCGGTCGCTCAGTGTGACCAGTCGAGTGAATCCACTGTCCACTGTTGCTGGCGTTAATATTGAATTATTTGGGACATTAAAACTCTGACAGCAGCAGCTGTAATACAAGGCTGGAGTTTAGTCAGTCAGGCGTACTTGGTGAACGGTACATTTATCCGAATGGAGCTGATATTGAAGCAGATGTGACGAATAAAAGATTTATCACGCAGGTCAAAGTCAGTGTCATCAGTGGCTTTAATGTTTGTTATAACCCTCACTGGAGTCATGTGTTATAATCAAGCATGTTGTAAAGCTTACTTTATAGTGTATAGTTTGTGTATTGTTAATAGTTTGGATAGATCTGCAGCAGCTGTTTGTACTGAACCATTATGATCTTTGACGTACAGATTTCATTTATATTTGCACTCATGCTAGTTTTGGGTCACAGTTGTAAAAGCATGTGCACAAAAACAAACTACTATGTGTGCATGTGTTTATATCCTGTTTGCCATGTTTACACCAGGCTGCCAGTTGATTTAAAGGTACACATGCTAAAACCAATGAACAGCCCTGCAAGAAACGTTTTAATGTTTGTTTTTTGTTGCAACTGCTTTGGAAAGATGCTTTTTAAATTACTGTGACAACTTTATTGCACCTTACTGAAAGGTATTTCTAATATTTACTCCATCCTTTAGATAGATGTGCCCAATAAACTGGAAGCGGTGTGTGTGTCTATAAATCACCTGTAGTATTAAATCCCAAAGCATTTACAGCCTAAGACTAGTCCTAGAGTAAAATAAAATTCTACAAAGATCTCCATTCTAAATAGTTTTTACTGTAGGACTATGCTTTATGTCTGGGAAAAGTTTATATCAAATCCATATCACACTGTCTAAATTCATGTGTGGAAAAATGCATAACCTTGTATAACCTAGTATTGCAACACAAGTTCATTAAAGGAATTAAAATTATTCATCTTCACAATATTGTTTCTTCCAGGCTTCCCAGATTTCCTGTTCCTGTGTGGAAGAATTACCGGTGAGTATCCCAGTAATAACGAAGCTGTTTCTTTCTTTTGTTTTGGTGCAGGCTTTTGCTGCCTCATGCTGTAAGACTTAGTGGTGTTTCCATATTTAGAGTTTGCTGTCAGACGCAGTCGTCATTTCAGCGCATCAAAGCACAAAGAAAATAGATCTCATCTGCTGTGTGTGTGTTCCAGATGAAATCATATCCTGTTTGTGACTCCAAAAAGGGGTTGGTGATTACCTCCTGTGAAGCTGTCATTAAAAACAAGCTCTTTTTTTATATTTTGATGCACCTCTCGTCATGCGCCATTTCTCCCTATTACACATTAGTTGGTGCACACTGGAGCTTTGTGAGCAGTGCAGTTTGCTCAGGAACACACCCAGCTGGCATACAATGGTGGAAAAGGCTGCATGAACACTGGCACACATCAATCGGCGATTATATTAATGTGCAGGAACATGTACTGTAAGGCTCCCAAAGCCCTGAGCCTTAATTCGTGCCATAACTGTTCACAATCAAGTAGCAGCAGGAATAACAGGCTAGTCAGAAAGATAACTGGTTTTATTACCAAGTCTTTTTTAAACACAACTGCTCAACGTATTGTTAGCGTGGCTTTGCAGATTGACGTCCAAGACAATTCTCTGGAAATGTACTGACGCATAAAATTGCTCTTGTATTCGCTAATGCGTTTACACAAACACTTGTCTGTGTTTTTAATTGATCCTAAACTGTTAAATGTCTTCTCAGTTCTACATTTAGCATGGAGTATCTACTGTGTTGTGTCTGGAGAGGAATATATTTGCTTTCATCTCGATTGTAAATCAGATTCTGACATCAATAATGCAGGAATGAGATGTTTCATGTTGTCCAAACACTTTCTTTGTTGCTGTTATGGTCCTCTTTATTTTAAAAAATGTGCTCTGCTATTGCAGTATAACCTCTAGTGCTAAACAAACAAAAAAAAAAAGGTGCAACTTAACAATGCTGTTGCAGATCAAATATCCTGAATCAAGATGTTTTATGAGTACCAACCTCTTTGTTGTGTATGTGCAACTGGACACAGATTAATACATTTAGTAGGCAATGGTGTAGTATTAAAATTAAGTAATACTCATTCCTATATTAACTTCCTTTATAATTTCTCAGACTTGAACTCCCAGGCAGATCAGTTCTTCATTTTTTGGGGGCCTTGACGTGATCTTCTCCTGCTTATCTTTCATGTAGACAGTAAAACGCCCAAAAGCCAGATAATTTGTCATGTTTTTATTAACAGAAATAGGCCACCAATGAGTGGGATGTATACAGGTCTCAACATTTTGATGGAAAAAGAAAGCAGTGATAGTCATTCACATAAATATAAAAATATTTGCAGTCATATGAAAGTGTGTTTGAACTGTCACTATACAAAAACTCCAATGCCCTGTATCTGAGAAAATGCTTTTAAATACATTCACTGCTTGTTTGCTGTGTCTGTGTTGTTGTTGAACTGTTGTTTAACCTAGTTTGCAAATAACTGGTCTGCCCCATTTTCCCAGTTTGTGTGCATGTGTGTGTGTGTGTGGTGAGGAGGGGCTTATGGTTTAAATTTGGGGGACCAATGGGTGTGACTAGTATGAGCTCATGGAGGAATTAGGCAATGGCCCTGGTCTTTACTCGGTGCAGTCTGTCTTATCCATGTAGCTCGCTTATCACTGTCCTTTCCTTTGGTGGAAGTCGCATACATGCAGTAGGTTCATCTGTTTTGCTTTTTTTTTTTCAGAGACTACATTTTAATTTTTTTTTCTTGACAAATCATGCAACAGGTTTCTGGTTGCTCTTTCTTTTCAGTGGCTACCTTAACCTATGATTTGCAGCTGCACACTCTGTAGATGATGTTTTTCCTGCCATCTCTGCTCGCATAGATTACATTCATAGCTTTCTCACCTTGTCGCAACTTTAGAGCACCACGGGCCGTCCGAGCCTGGGTGAACTGAGTCACCATCCTAGACTGACAGCTTGCCTGCGTTGCCCCCCCTTTGCATTCATTCCCGCCCCGCTCTCTCACTTCCTGCCTGCGCTGCTTGTGCACACTGCTGTTTGGTTGGTGTTGCCATGGCACCGTGTAGCCAGAAAGAGGCTTCACAGACAGCATCTTGTGTTCTCTTCACAGAGGGCCGCTAACAAGAGATTGAGGGGCAGTGACGCAAAACACACAATATACGAAAGCAGCTGTGTGGACTGACGCTGGGGACTCTGCAGCTCTGACACTTACGGGTTTACCTTCCCCTGGCAGAGGCACAGTCGCAGGCTTGACCACATTGGATGACTTTTTACTCGGTTCACCTCTTCTTGCCAAACTTCTTTTGACCAAAGATTAAATTTTTTTTTTTTTTCCTCGTTGATTCTTGTTTTTAAACGCAACCATTTTTTCGGGAACGAAACTGGGATTTTCCCTCATATTATGCACTTCAATGGATACCGGTGGCTCAGTGGTTAGTATGCGAGCTGAAGAGCCGTCCTTTCATGTCCGCTACAGGTAGGCATCTCTCGTCTCTCCTCTGAAGTGTGGTTGTACTCTAGACTCAGTGTGGCTCAGTTTTTCAGCTTTTCCCTCTCACTAGTTTTTGATGGAGCTATTGATGAAATGATTTGCTGATGTTTAAGAGAAGAACTGCTCTTTATATTTGTAGTCATTTAAACTTGTTGTGTCAGATGAGTCAGTGTCATGGAGCAGATCATGGATTTGTTTGGTTACCTTACTGAGAAAGTGATGCTATGAAATTTTAAGTTGAGGAATTACTTTAAAGCTTTTCCTTTGCTGAAGAAACTCGTCAGCCAAATGTCCTCATATACCCAGATAAAGGGCTCTGGCAGCAGGTGTGACCTGCCAGCCGCAGAAGGACCTGCTTCAGCGAGCTTAAATATTTAAACAAGCACTGAAAAATTCATCGCTGCTGGCTTTGTTTATGGGCACACGTGTGTCCAAGTTGATGGGACAGTGTAGGTGCCTGCTTGGTGACAGGACAGCAGATAGTTTTTTTCCAATAGCAGCCGGATGGTTACAGTCAGTGAATCGATTCCATTGACTGCACTACAGAGTCTGCTTGTGTCTGACACACCTAATCAAGATACTTACTGTAATCTGCCAGGTGCATACTCTACAGATGTAATCTCGGGTGACCAGGTCACGAGGGGAGAGAGCTTGGAGAAAAGACAAGCAGATTAGCTGAGAAAATGTTGATGGAGCAGTTTCCCCGCTGCCATGCATTGGAAGTTAATACTGTGACAACATCACACGCGTCTCCTTGAAAGTTTTCCAACGCGTGATGCTAAAATATCCGTGTGACGTCAGTTGACTCATGGCTGTGATATCAAAGAAAAGGAGTGTTTTTTTAAAAATTTCCTTTTGGAACCCTTTTTTAAGATTCCATGAGCAACAGACAAGCTTTTCATCACCTATAGGCTGCTAAGTTGGCCTAAGGAAACCTCTCCATGCTTCAGAGAAAGAGAAGAAGCTGCAGCCTAGAAGTCTGTCAAGTGGAAACGGCAGTAGATGCCTCTCAGATGCTCCATGTGCTGTTGTTGTTGTTGTAAGACACCAAAAGCCGGCAGGTAGGCTAGTATTTGCCACAGCTATATAGCGTTAAATGGTATAGTGTTAACTTGGTAGTAAACAAAAAGTGGGTGCTTCTAATTTAAGGCCTAAGACCGCTGAGCTGAGCTTTATTGGCTATTGAGGACACCATGTTTGCCTTTGTTCAGAAATTATAGCCTAGCCCTACGGTGAGACAAGCGACTGTGTTTGGTGTTTTTGCGTCATTTCAGTAGCACACAATAGACTATGTAAGCTGTTGCTTCATGAGAGCAATCCAGACTAGATTGTGCCTGTTTCTTGGGCTGTTTTTGAGAGCTTTCAGATAACCACTGGGTGGGAACAAAAAGGAACACTTGAGATAAACAAGCTGAATAGATTTTGTGTGAAGCTGATCTCTTTCCAAGAAAAAACAGTTTCCTGAAAGACAGAAGTTGGCTGTCTAAGAGCTTTTGCTATGCACAGACACGCTGCTTAATCTTCCATCTACAGTTAAATCATCAGCCATTGTCTGACACGCCTTTCATCAGGCTTTAAAACATCTGAGCCCATCCTCATGCGTAACATCTTGTCTCAGAGGAGCCGCTCCAAAGTGCTTGCTCCAAAATGATGTTCTACCTTTTTATATCAATTTAGGAAGTAATAATTTCCCAAAGCTATTTTGTGATAAATGTAGGATAACGGGAAGTGAATTGTTTCTTACATTTAAAAGATTGATTCTTCCGAACCAACTCACAAATCACAGCTGCTGGAACATCTGTGAATATGCATTTGTGGTACAATGGAGAGCGGTTGAAAGTAATGTCCTGTAAAGCCTACACAGCTTGTAGTTAATGGGCTAAAACATCCAGATCCACCAGGATGAATCTTTTCAGCCACAGCACAAACTTTTAAAACTATTTTTAAGTCTAGAGCAGCACCAGTAAACAAGGGAATGATGAACATTGTGGGTTAGCGTTTGCTCCATTTGACTTTAAAAGGAACCCACTTTACTTTCTGTGGCCTGTTAAAAGGATGTGAGATCTACCATAATAAACAAACCCCAGTCCGAACCATTGTTCTCTGGAGGTGGAAGGAAGCAGCTAAACAACATTCCCCCGTTGAAAGCTTCGAAAGACGCTGAGCCGGGAGTGCAGTCCGGTCATTTTGGCTGTAGGTTCCAGCAAGAGAAGACCTTCTTTTTCCACAGTTTCTTGTCGTGTTTTTTGATTCTACACACTTTGGTCATTAATGTCTTGAGGCTTAGCCAGTTCAGCCAGCTGTTCAAAGTTTCCGGGGACTGACTCTGCTTCTCTCTGCTGCAGGATGGAGGTGTCCTGCCTGGAGCTCGCGTTGGAGGGTGAGCGGCTCTGTAAGGTGGGGGACTACAGAGCGGGCGTCTCCTTCTTTGAGGCTGCCATCCAAGTGGGCACAGAGGACCTGCAAGTGCTCAGTGCAATCTACAGCCAGCTGGGCAATGCCTACTTCCACCTACATGACTACACCAAGGCCTTGGAGTTTCACCGACATGATCTCACCTTGACCAGGTTGGATAGACACAAGAAACCCACAGCCATGCAGATATTCATTCTATCACTACTATCAGTACTGACATAATATGTATTCTCTAGAACAATTGGTGATCTGCTTGGAGAAGCCAAAGCAAGTGGAAACCTTGGGAACACATTAAAGGTTCTGGGGCGATTTGATGAGGCCGTGGTTTGCTGTCAGAGGCATTTGGACATTGCCAGGGACATAAATGACAAGGTGAGGCAACATATTCAAGTGCATAAGTGGTCATGTGTACAGTCAGATATTGTGTAATGCATATGGGGACTATAGAGGAAGTTGACCCTCACTTCTGACATAGTTTTGTTTTCCTGGACTTGCATTAGGTGGGGCAGGCGCGAGCTCTCTATAACTTTGGGAATGTGTACCATGCCAAAGGGAAAAGTATCTGTTGGAGCGGGGCTGAGCCCGGAGACTTTCCAGAAGAGGTCATGACGGCACTGAGGAAGGCAGCAGAGTATTATGAGTAAGTCGCAGAGCGCGTGGGTATTTAGCATTATGAACTCCTTGCTGTTTTTTTTAAAAACTCTATTCAAATGTCTGTATCACAAAGGTTGTCCGATTGTTTGTTTGTCACTTTTTAGGGCAAACTTGGCGATAGTGAAGGAGCTCGGAGATCGAGCTGCCCAGGGGCGAACCTACGGCAACCTTGGCAACACACATTACTTGTTGGGCAACTTTCGCAAAGCCGTAGCTTCTCATGAACAGGTACGAGTGAAAACCTTTTCTTTATCGAGAGTGAGCGTGCCTCAACGAAAAGATCCATTTTTAAAGTATATTTTTTTTTGTTTCAGCGTTTGCTCATCGCTAAGGAGTTTGGGGACCGCTCAGCAGAGAGGCGGGCTTACTGCAACCTGGGGAACGCCTACATCTTTTTAGGGGAATTTGAAATAGCAGCTGAGCATTACAAGTAAGCCACAGCCAGTGGTTCTCCTGAGAAAATGGGCCTGTAAAGTAGGTGGCAAATATTGAACAGATTTTGAACTAGCTTGTCTTGTCATGTTTTTCAGGAGGACACTGCAGCTGGCGAGGCAGCTGAAAGACCGAGCTGTGGAGGCCCAGGCCTGCTACAGCTTGGGCAACACCTACACTCTTCTCCAGGACTACGAGAGAGCCATAGACTATCACCTCAAACACCTCATCATAGCTCAGGACCTCAATGACAGGTACAAACACACACAAGCACAAGATTATTTGCTGTTTCTTATATTTTCCACTGTGATGGACTTATTTTCTTTTTGTAGGATCGGGGAGGGCCGTGCATGCTGGAGTCTCGGAAATGCTCACACTGCACTCGGAAACCATGACCAAGCCATGCACTTTGCTGAGAAACACCTGGAGATCTGCAAAGAGGTACACAAAATAGTCTAACAGTAAAGCAATGCAAAAACAGTCCATGCTTTCTCATTTTGAAACAGGAACAGAAATAGTTCAGCAGTAAAAGTGACTTCTTCATTTGAGTATTTTTTACTTGGTTTCTTCCAGACTGGAGACAGGAGCGGAGAACTGACGGCTCGTATGAACGTATCAGATCTCCAGACGGTTCTGGGTCTGAGCTACAGCACAAATAACTCCACGCTGTCAGAAAATAAGGACATCGACTACAACCTGCATGGTAAAAACTGTGTAATCACACTGCTCGCATTTCTTATTTTTTATGAGTGAAATTTATGTAACATTATTTTTTTTCTATTTTAGGAGCAAGACCCAGGATGAGCAGGCGTCACAGCATGGAGAACCTGGAGCTGATGAAACTCACTCCAGACAAGATGAATGTAAGAACTTCTCATCCACACCGACCCGCTTTCACATCACACACCAGCACCGCTTCTTTTTATTTTCCGTTTTGCTGCTAAGCTTGATTTTTCAAAAATGTTTTACTGCACCAGATACCGTCATTGTTTACCTTCCAGCCGGTTTTGTTTCTTCCTATCCGCTCCTTTCTCCTGTTTCCTCTCTTCGTTGTGATAACGAGTCCCTTTCTGTGCGTTGAAGGGTCAAAAGTGGAACAGTGACATCCTGACCAAACAGTCCAAACCCTCCCTGGCTAAAAGCTCCTCCAAGCTGTTCTTTGTCAGCCGTCTGCGTGGGAAGAAGTACAAGGCTGGTGGGAGCAGTAAGGTCCTCCAAGACACGAGCAACACTCTGGACACCAGCCAGACTGCTGCTCAGGGACCACAGAAGGTATGCAGTCAAGGGTGCTTTCACTTGATAACCACACACATGCCTCAGTAGGTCTCCTACATCACAGAAGGCCTGTTCTGTTTCACCGTTCCTTAAGTTTGTTTGTCTTTCTTCACCAGCGACTCAGTCCTGACATGCTCGGAGATGAGGGCTTCTTTGACCTGCTGAGCCGCTTTCAGAGCAACCGTATGGATGACCAACGGTGTTCGATACAGGACAGAGGCAGCAGGTTGTCGTTAAACAGCGGTCCAGATTCGCCACCCAGGGCCATCAGAAAATGTGGGTCCACACACTTCATGAACACACAACCAGTCCTCACAGTACTACTTCATTTTCATACTGTTTTTGATTTTTCTCTACATCTATAGCTGTGTCAGAGTCTGTCAGCATCTCGAACGCCCCAGGCAGGCGGTTAGAGGAGTCGTCAGCAGCGGGGGGAAGCCTGCCCGGCCTCAGGCTCAATCAAACCAGCAGCCAGGCCGTGCTCAGTCACCTGATGGCCAACGCTGACAACGCTGAGCCTGACGACGACTTCTTCGATATGCTTGTCAAGTGCCAGGTACTTCAACCAAGTGCTATATTGATAAGCTTATGCTGCATATAACACACACAAAATTAGAATCTGCTTTTCAAGACAAGAACGTTAAAAACTCCACATCTCCATTTCAAACATACATCCTGTTTATTTTGTTTCTTCCAGGGATCCCGTTTGGATGACCAGCGCTGTGCTCCTCCCCCTCCTCCGGTCCGAGGCCCCACTGTACCCGATGAGGACTTCTTCAGCCTCATCATGCGCTCTCAGGCCAAACGGATGGACGAACAACGTGTCACCTTGCCTTCTGCGGCAAACACTACAGCCAGGCCTAGCTCCAGCTCCAACTGAGCTAAACACTAAAGGGACTAAAGGTGTTGGTTTTATCAGCATTGTGATTGATTATCGGTCACTCAAAAAAAAAAAAGCTCTTGTCTCTCTAACATTTGTCCTTTTGGACCAAGCAAAGCACTGTCAGCATTGTATGTAGTTCACAGCATGGAAACATCTCAAACAACAAGGACGCACAACTTTAACACACCAACAAACTCACAGTAGCATCAGGGACAAAAGTGTTGGGTTTTTTTTGTTTTTTTTTTAGCCTTGTTTTTAATGGTTCTGTACTGCTGCATATTTCATTTCAACCCATGTGTATTTTTCAATACGCAACTGCATATTTATTGTACTTTCTGTGATTATAATCGTGATCACTGCCGTCCACCACTATGAAGTAACATGGTTATAGTCACAATCTTGTATGAGTCAGTGTGGACACAGAGGTACAGCACTCTTTTCATGTATTTTGTTTAAATGTGAGGTTTTTGTTTAGTTTAGGAATCAGGCAAAGGAAAATAACAAAAGGTATTTTAAGCAAACTTATAAAAAAAATATGAATTTAACCCATGTACAGCCCTTTGTTCTTTTGTACTAAATGTTTTGAATGAGGCAATAAACAGGGTTCCCACATGTCCTGGAAAACCTGGAAAATTATTGAGCTATTTTCCAGTCATGGAAAGCATATGGAAAATGAGAAAACAAAGTCCTGGAAACAGTTAAGTTATCCTGGAAAATTATTTATCCTCCCCCTGCCAATGCAAACAGGTTAGAAGTTCTGCACATGCATGTCTGTTGTCACCTTATCTTCTGGGCAGCATCAGGGCATCGCGCCCCACCAGACGCTACCAGCCAATCACATTTGCATTTCCGCTTAGAGCAGTTCTGTAACCCAGTGCTTCCGATTGACTTTGTCACCAGATTTAGTGATTTTTCAGACCCCGTTAAGAACTTGGCACCTAGAGACAAAACTGTCGACTGTAAGTTGAAGAATTTTGCTAGTATTGGTCCGTGAGTGTGAGGTTTTTCTCTCCCGCGGGTGGCCACAGGCTCACCTCTGGCTTCCATGTTCATTTAAACCACTGGCATGGGCATCGCACCCATGCTGGATGTGGGTGTTGCGACACCCACACTTTTACTTAAACATTATTTCTTTTTATATATATTTCTTTGAGTTTATCATGGTTATATCACAATTCCTTTATTTTACAAACTTAAACATTTGTGAAATCTGTAACATCCATCCATCCAT